GAGTAATAAAGGCTACTTATTGACATTATCTCGCAGAGCCATAATGCCAGTAATTGAAAGGGGGGAATGTTAAGCCCCGACATAAGGAAATCATCTCTATCACAAACTACCCGATGAGCTTGCGCTGCTGGACTACAGTATAATATCGGAACGCATTTACAACATTTCATTGTACATCGCATACTATCTAGGCAAGATATCAACAATAACAAAAATTTAAATCGTAAACAGCAGAGTTCACTACAAGCCATATTTTATTCTCGGTCAACAAAGCACCAATAAAAAAAGTCGAAGCAGATTTCAGTAAAAAGTCAGCAGCTTCAATATTGACTAACCAGTTGACGGAAAAGCAAGGGCCTCGCCCCACCTTCCATTTAGTGTTCCAACATCAAATCGGTTATATACATTAGCATTAAATAAAGCTATAGATGAAAAGCCTTAGCTCAATGCGGTGATGGCTATTGTGTTGACTTCTGGTGTTTTTATTTACGTGGCTCAGGCTCACAAAAAAATCAAATGCCGACACCACATGCACTGCAGCAAAAAAAATCCCGTGAACATGATCTTATAAATTGCAACAATTTAACAAGAGATTATCTTAATGTCATGTAAGATTCGATAGATCAGATCAGTTAGATCAGATGGAGATGTTGTAGAACTTATAAATTATTTCTCAACTTTAAGAAGTTAGTTCTGAACTTTAATATTAAAAATAATACCTCTATTTCCTTGGGTAGGCACAGCGCCACTCAAGGCATATAATGACGAAGCAATTAGTGATATTTTCGAGGAGCTTAGAGAAATCAGAAGAAGAAGCAGGTAGCCTATGTTTTGAGAATAAGGCGCATCTATTACGTGAGCTAGGTGTTTTTATTTGCGCTATATGCTGTCTTTCAAGCTAATGAGAAAGGAAAACGATGTTATTATTTATAGAGACTTGATTTTCGATGGGTTATAATTAAGAAATCAGCTGCAATGCAGAGCCGTAAAGTGGCGGTGTTGGTAGAGGCGATGACGACATAGCCCGTATTAAGAAATCTTTGCAAGCTTAAACGATATCCGTAGAGCCAATCGGAAATTTTAGATCACTATATAGAGAGTGCGCTTAAACACAGCTAGAAATATATGTTTAAACATACTGTCTTGACTATCGCTAGGGGATTTTTGTGAATCGAGGCAATTCTAGCAAACTAAAAAAAGACACCACGCCACTTCTACAATAATTGGTTCCGATTTTTCCTGATTTTTCCGTTGATAATTTGCTGACAAGAAGACAGCATTGAGGAATTGTGCTTATCGCGTTTTACTGGAAATTTTTCGGTGTTTGGATTTTTTCTCATAAATGGTCTAATTATGAGTAGCAAGGAATAATATTATTATGAAAAAACAATAGTATTAAGACCAAGGTATCAAAACTTGACACCATTCCTACATTCACATAAGCATGGCAGTCGTTTGTTAGAGATATTACGAGGAGGAAGGTCGATTACCGACTGAGAATTTGGAACAAAATGCCAAGTTTCCCCTATTACTTCCAATATGCTTTATTTACATATGCTTTATTTAAACACTTCTATTGTTCACTATACTTCAACAGGTTTGATTGATTAATGCTCGAGATTCATGTAATGAAGTGATTCGAAAATGAATTATTGCAATTCTTCGCGATATATGCCGTAATAATTATCCCAACTAATGGATAATAAGTACGGCATGTAAATTTGGATTTGTAAGAGCGGTAATTTCATTTCTCTTACGCGCTTACTATAGAACAGATCCGATTGCTCCTTGGACTGCTATAAATTCTCAAACCAATATAAACTTTCGCCTTTCTAGACGACGAAAATAACAACATTAGCAACTGCGGCAGCCGGCGACCACGATACTGATTATCCCGCCGAACTAATAGCTCATAAAAACTCCTTCAAACATGGCATAATCACCATCTGAACTGAAGATCTGTCTTTCGGAGCATCTTACACACCGAATTGCTGTGAAATACTTGGTTAACACCAAGAGACGAATATTCAAAGCGTTAAAAAATTACGGATACGATGACTTCAAAATATACAATCCCAAATTTTAATTCTTCTCTAAGTCTTTATCCTTGGATTCATCTCATTCCGCCACCGGAGTTGACTCTGATGCATGTAAAGGCACTCACGGCGCATCGTACAGAGGCTGTCGTATTTATCTCAAGAGAATGAAACATCGTACAACTGGTGTAAACAAATTATCGGACCTTCCGAAAAATAATCATCATCACCTTTCACACAATATACAATGATACATCACGTCTGCAGCAGTAAGAAATTTAGTTACGCTTACAAATATAGGCAAACAAGTCAGAAACTATATGAAACGCAATCCCACCATGATCCACATATATCTAGTAACGCCGAAGTTTACAACAATTCAGTGGACTACTGAAAAAAAAACAGTAAATATCACCATTGTTGAACAGCGCACAGTATAAGTAGGATTAGAATAGGATTCCTACCAGGCGGCTCACCCCTTAGACCCAACAACATTATTTAAGCAACTTTCCTTATGTTCAAAACTACAGTGGGAGAGATTAATAATTTCTCTGCATACATTCCACTGCTCCAACATGGAATCAACCGTACAATCCTTCAAGAGAAGGCCTGCATATTACCACTACAACAGATACGGCATTCCGTCGTACCTACTTCTTTATATTCGAAAGTATTTCAGACAACTTACAGTCTGTCCATGAATACAATGAATTTTTCTTTCGATCATCTACACCTTATAGCCACGCTAACATTATTGGCACCAAGACTCGCTAATTAATACTCAATACTCTCCCTCGCAAATAATTTGGATACAGTTTTAAATAAACTATTCATTATCCACTGAACTATCCACTATCCCTAATATAACAAGCATTTCCATTTACAATAAAGTTGATGAAGCCATCGAAATTACAGTATAAACAAATAAGAAAGCTCTAGTCGGGATGCCCGACTAATAGATACCCTGATCCCCGTAGTTTGTATCGACAGTACGATACCAGGATTCGAACCCACTATTTTTACGCAACGCGCACGAACTCTACCAACACCGCCACTTCATAATTAAAAAAATAAATAAAACAAAAAAAAATGTCTCATCGGTGCGAGTTTCGAACCCAGGGATTAACCGCTTACGAGTGCCGCCTTTACCAACGCAGCTACTGCACCGAAGAGTTGCAAATTTGAAGTTGAGTAGCAGCTGATAATTCAAGCAGTATTCAATCGCAATTACGATTCTTCGAATAGAAAAGAATACACGCATTTGAATGTATGTGTGCACACGCATAGGAAAAATGCGAGCGCGTGGCGCTGATGACATGTGCTTTTGCCAATTGGCCAAAATTTTTGTTTATTAACTTCTGTTTTACTTAATGGATTTTAATGAAATTTTCAGCAAACGCAAATGTAAACGCCTTCACATAATGGCCCTAGTTTTAACTAAACTTAAATTATCCAATAACCAATATAAATAAAAATGCATTTAATATACATAAAACTAAATAGGCTCTAGCTCTTTAGACGCCTGCGATTTAATTTATTAGCTGCATTTCAATCATGTTTTTAAATGCGAATGGTTATCGAATATTTGAAACAAACTTGATATGCGCGTGATATACACTAACTTTCAAGTCTCTAGCTCTTATAGAAGCTGACATCGACGCGTTCACAAATAAAAATGCATTTAATATACATAAAACTAAATAGGCTCTAGCTCTTTAGACGCCTGCGATTTAATTTATTAGCTGCATTTCAATCATGTTTTTAAATGCGAATGGTTATCGAATATTTGAAACAAACTTGATATGCGCGTGATATACACTGACTTTCAAGTCTCTAGCTCTTATAGAAGCTGACATCGACGCGTTCACACAAACGGATAGACGGACGGACAGATAGGACGGACAGAGCTCAATCGACTCGGCTTGTCGTCCTGATCAAGAATATATATACTTTATGGGGTCTGCCTCCTTTTGCCTGTTACATACATTTGCACAAAACCATTATACACTGATTTCTCATTTTCAATCGGTATAAAAATAAAAGCGGTGCTGCTCCTATCTGCCCGCAACGATGCCACAACTCCTGACAACAAAATGAATTAGTCGAACACAATAGGTCATTTAAGCAAATATCTGAAGACGGGAATACTTAATATGCACTCTGAAAACGTAAAAAATGAATATCTGCAACAGTAAATACTCTCTTTCAAATGATCTCAAATTTTTAAATCACAATTTAAATGGTCATCCACGTAGGCGGTTCACTTAAAAGTGGAAAAATCTCCGGCTTTGATCGACAAAAGCATACTTAAAATGCTAACACTTAATGTCACTCTAGTAATAACATCAATAAACAATGCTGCTATACGCCTTAGATACCTTGGTAGCCCACATATAAAAACACAAACACGGAAAAATCTCAGCTTCCGACCTTAATTTGGAAAACTACCTGAAAGATACTCCAAAGATTGCGAAACTCTTTACACGTCATAAATCACAACCTTTTTATGATATATTTTTGTGACATTTTATGTAATCTAAACAAAATACGTAAAACACAGGCTGGTTTCCTTCGCCGTGGCAGCGGTGCTGAGTTTTAAATTCACAAAAAATATTAGCATCTGCAACATATCCTTACAAGCTGTACTCTACCTCTAGTATACTTGCCAAAAGACTCCGCAACAGAAGAAGACGTAATAGGCTGAAGAGGTCGTACCCATTACACTTACCAAATCGCTTAGCTTCATTTTCAATCAATATCTCCTAAATTTCCTAAACCCATCATATACGCGAACAACAAATCTTTTCTCATTTTTGATCTTTGATCATTTTAGAGCAAGGAAAGCTGCCTACATCCACTTACTAAGATGATGAAAACAACACACCAAAATATTTTAATCAATATTAAATAAAGTGAGATAACATAGTGATTGAAAATTTAAGATTTGCTTTGATTATGAGTATGTTTAACAAAAATATATATTTTCAAATCATTAGCTATTTTATGAAAGTTCGATAGCGTGTTTTACACTCAGTTGACAATTCCACATTCAGATCTGTTTTTGGTTGATCTACAGTTTTCGGAAAAGTATATTGGGATTTTTGGTTGCGTAATGTTGTTGAGCTGCTTATTTAGTCAATTGTGTTCAGGAATAAGTTCTGATGCCCATACATCTTGAGGCCATCCTGTACGACCCTTTGCTGATATGCAATCATTCTGAAAATACGAAAAAAAGTTGTATTTAAAGTTTTTTCTCTTTAGTCGGAAATACTCCATCTGATCAGCATTTTTAATTTTTTTTTTAATTCTGAAACCTATTATAAAAAAGAAGAAGAAAAGCTGACAATAAGACACAAGCACTCGAACCAAAACTGCTACTTCATATTACATAAACAACAAACAAAACAAATCCCAACGCAGCCAGGCGTTGACCATAGAACGACTCGATAACGAGCCCCACATCTCGCAACACCGCCCTTTCACTACAAGACCGAATACTGGCAAATCTTAACTTAACGAGAGAAAAATGCGTACGCTTGGCGCCGCTTGCCACGGCTTATGCTAATTGGTCAAGTGTTCTATTTTACTAAATGGATTCCAAATTTTCAGTCGCATATTGGCTATATTTGGTACTAAGTTTTAATTTACATAATTTGGCTACATTTTGAGCTGCTATCCAAAATATAACAAAAATCGTAACTCAATAAAATATACAGAAAAATAAATCAAAAAATGTTGGATTCTCTAGCTCCAAAAACGTAAGAAATATAATTTAACAACTGTATTTCAATCATTTTTTGATCAAAAACAATACAAATAAAATAATTCTTGATTGACCCAAGCTGATATTATACCCTGATTTCCCATTTTCAATGTATTCAGGTTATAAAAAAATAACAGCTTCTGGAATGGTAAGTAACCTTAGCTTTTTGTTAGTTTTAGTGATTAGTAAATATCAAATAATAATATGATTTTCGAAGGGAAAAAATACATTTGGGTTTATTGAAAAAAATTGGATGGACAGATGGACACACAAATCGACTGAGAAATGATATATGTATTGACCCAAAAATGTATGTAAATACTTTGTTTTAATTACTTTATTCCCGGCCCTGTCCTACTCATGCCTTTCTTTCACAAAATCTCTTTTATTACTTGGCGATAACAAAAATTAGTTCAACTAATTTGAAATTTATATAAGTGAAGAGGGTGTTTTCTTAAGCCGGTAAAATTATTTTTGGAAAGGATATTAATATTATATTAACTCAAAGGTATTACTGTAATGGACAAAATGGACTCGAAATAATATGGTCAATCTGTATGGTCCACAGAGTGCATCTGAAACTGTGCATCCTAAAACTGTAGGATGATAATGAAGTGCTCCCAATTGTCTCATATCAATAATAGCGTTTACGCCTGAATAATGATAGTAGATATTACAAAAAAGTAAAACTGTAAGCACAAAGACAATTTTCTCCTTTTATTTCGTAGACAAGTGTAATTACGTAAAATATAATATGGATATAATAAAGTTATTCAATCAAAAATGAGTTTTGATTACACATAATACATACATACCATATGTTTATAATCTAAACTATTGTATTCAATGTAAATATATACTTACATACAAGTATATGTATGTACGTATCAGCGTAAATGTACTTAGAAGTATAGCAGACACTTGACTCTTTAATTGACGAATCTTGTAATTCCACCTCGCACCCTCCATCCGAAAGCATTTATTTCTGTATGTTTATGTGCACATAATGCATTCATACATCTGTGTATATAGAAATATACACTTAATGTAATTGGGCCATGTGAAAATTATTTCGTAAGGAAACAAAAAACATAAAGGGCGGAAATAAACAGGGTTGGATGTTTATACTCTTGCTGAAGTTATCATAGTTGGGTGGCAGACAATTTTAATTCATTAAGACAAAGAAAAATTTGTATATTCTGTAAAAATATGATAAAACCGGGCTTAATTATTTTTAAACCTAGAGTTCCAAAAAGGTGAACTGCTAAGACAATATTTAATTCTGTATATATATATATGAAAATGTCATTTTGAATGCTTTATTTATAACACCAATAAGTAGAATTAAAATTGGTTGTGGTGCAGTGACCTATTCCAATAGCAACTAATTAATTTAAATGAATATTTACAGAAATATGAAGTATTCCGCTTTTTGGATACCTTCAGCATTACTTGCGAAATCGATAAAGCTTTGGGTTTGCTTGTGGGGCATTAGCATATGTCACATGCCAATTTCTGTATCATAGTCATGTCCATAGAATCGGACAATAAACACTGAGGTCATTTAAATTGCTTTTTAGATTTTCTTTTGTAACATACGCTGCACATATTTAGAATTTTTATACTCATTCACGAAGGAAGACAGCCCTGTCGGGCGTGGGAAGTTGGAAAGAATTATATTTTTCACAGCTTGAGGACTTAAATTGTCTCCAAATAATAGCGGCCAACAAAAGAAACTGTAAACATATAAGCAAATAATCAAAAATGTACACTTAGTAAGCAGAAGACGCCGATATGAACGAGATTCTTGAGAAAGATTAGAAGAAACCAAGTAAAAATACTCTAGTCAAGTCAAGTCGACTTGAGATGAACCAAACATTGAACGCTTTCTTTAATATATACATAGAAATATAAAAGTAGAAATATATAAAAATCTAATTGGAAATGTTGTCTTAATAAATTGAGCTGCTCAAATCGTTTTTATATACTTGCGCATAACGTACACGCACAATTTGAAAAATACATACCTCATTTGCTTTCCTATCTATATAGATTTTGCGGCTTGGAAGCTTCAGCTCTGCCTGGAATCCGCTCTTGGGATCTTGATCTCCATCTATAACGCCAACTAAATAGTTTATGTACAATATTGCCAACTTTAATGTTTTTATCTGAAAATATTTAATTAAATAAATTACATTTATATATGTAGTTCATAACTCTATATTTATACCGTTAACACCTTGAAATTGTGAGTTCAGGGCATACCCAGAAATTATATATACGTTCGTTCGTTCGTCCGTTCGTCCGTCTGTCCTCCCGTATGAACAGACTTAAAAATTCTAAATACATTTTAATGTGTACTGTACCACTATCCATTCAACATATAGATGCGATATCTGATACAAAGTATTTTGACGCATACAATAGAATTATTAGATAATTGTCACCTTCGTATTTGGTTGAGTTTCTGCTCTCTACTCTCTCAAATATATAAATATATGCACAAGAAGCAGCGCATAAAATTGACAATGAATTTTCACGAGCAGGTCCTATTTTACCCTTCTGAGAGAAGAGAATAGAAAATACATGAAAGGGTTTGCCATGCTTATGCAACATTGTAGCATTTTCATTACTATTCGTGGGAAGGATATGAAAGCGTTGCTGAACACATACTTCCAGTAGCTTGATCACATATATGATCATTTACGCGCTTATGTGCGAAACTCGAAATGCCTGTTTAAATTGTAAAGACTTACAATTTGAATCTCTTCGATTTTGTGGACTGCACACACGCACCTGCATTTGTGTGTGCAAGGTATGCGATGATCAAAATGGTCAGGTGTCTCGAGATTCTATAGTTTGTCAATATGGTTCAATTTCAATTTAGGGTGACTGTGAGTACATATATAACTTTCCTGACACATAAAACTTTTATATATGTAAGGATAGTTCCGAAAAAATTAAATAGACATTACTTTGTGCACTCAGATGATTTTTTCAATTTAATATTTTTTGCCGGGCTTATCTAATTAAAGAAGCACATTCAAAGTTCAATAAAAATGTTGTATGATATAAAATTTTGTATGCACAGCAAACCCATTCTAATTCCATGAAAAATATAAGCACAATAAATATCCATATCGTATTAATAGATATTATACAAGCATGGCTAAGTGAGTGAATTAAGTATTTTATCTTCAGCACTCAAATTCTTTAAAATTCCCTTCTTCGGAGCTACCGAAGAGCTCCATTAAAATTTAGATTTAGTCGTCTTAAGCCGATTATTTAGCAAATCTATCAGATATCTTGGAAAAAAGATTAATTTTATTTCAGCAGTCTATTCTTGTAAAAGTTTTACTCGCATAATACTGGAACATTGGTGTTGAAGGTAGTAGGTGAACAGTTTAAATTGGTTTTTGCGGCACCACTTAAGCAAAAAGCAAGTAAGTGTCTATAACTCCACTAACAGATACCCTGAATCCTGCGAAGATCTGATATTCACTGTACGCTTCTTTTCTACATACGTAGCAAACAAAGCATGTCCCAACATCCAAAATCCAAAGTCCATAATATACATAATCTGTGTATTCATTATAGAAAGCCCCACAGTAAATTGGATGCTTCTATATTTTGTTGTCATAAATTTACGTATAAAGAGTGACATTGATAATAATAAAGTGATAATAATAAATCTTGTTCTGCGTATTTAAAATTTCGGTACGTTAATACATAAAGACGGACATGGCTAGACCGACTCCTGCCGTCGCTCTGATGAAGATTATGTTTACCTATCTATATTTCTTCCACTGCTCTTTAGCCTGATACAAAGCCATTACACATATTTTTATAGAAATATATACAAATTTTAAAAGAATTACAGCTTTAGAATCAATATTTTTAAGCTTTGCTATTGATCACTGCAAAGGCCCTAATTGATTTATAGGTATTTCAAGAATCAAATAAGACAACAGTTTGGATAAGAGTTAATCGAATCAATAAAAATATATTTACCTTAGATAACTTAGTATCTGAAGGAACGTTTGGTATTCTCTCACGCAGGCATGAGAATGCATTATTGATACTTTGGGTTCTCCTGCGTTCTTTTTTATTAGCTGTATTTCTCTTCTTAATAGTTCGAACCGTGGGATGTGGAATAAAACTGAGATGATTGGTAGATGAATAGATTTCGCCGGCACCTTTTATGTTTGAATCTAAAAAAACATATATTAATAACTATCGTAAGTGTATTTAATACAATAATATTATTATTTCAGCTTATAATAATAATGTCAGAAGCTCTACATATACTCTACCATACTTCAATTTTAAAACTGTAAGATATACCAAAGTAGTGAATACTCTTTTGCCCTGAATGGGTGTGCTCCCATATACAAAAAAAAATCTAATTAGACATTAGAAAAAAGGGCGGCGGACGGATAGATAATTGTTGCCTACGAGTTCAAAAGAGTGTATGGGTTTTGCGAACATTCATCGTTCTTATAAAAAAAATGTATTTCGCCACTTTTGAATAATATTAATATTTTTAAAAACGTCCATGCGTGGGGTGTGGCAAGTTAAAAAATAATTTATATTTTATTGTTAATGAAGCCTAAACAACAATTAAAGAATATATTCTAAGATTTTTATAATTTGGATTTATTTTTTGCATATAATTGACAAAAAATTATATGATATATATTCACGTCCTTTTTAAGCCTTGGAAAATTTTACCGTGAAGTTAAGTTTCAAAGACTCTTAGATTATGTATGGATGTTAGAGTACGTAATACGAAAGTTTAGTTTTGTTTTAATCTATTGGCGATTGAGTTTAGATGGAGTTTTTAGACTAAATTCGAAGCACACTAGCACAATAACACAATTTATAGATTATACTTAATAAGCTATCACTTTCAAAACTGTACAGTTACATATAATTTTTGTAACTTGATATTCCTATTTTCATTTACCGGCTCCAAAGGAACCCAAATTCTTGAGATTAAAGTTCATGTTCACATATATTATATATATTCCGAAAGAATTTGTATATCATATGGTAAAAATTTAATTTCAAAGGTTTGGTTTGGCAAAAGCATTTGGCAAGCTGTGCCAAGCACACGCATTCCCCCTATACATGTGCACGCATACATTCAAATGCGAGCATTCTTGTCTATTCGAATAATCGCAATTGCGATTCAATTGTGTTCTGTGGTGTTGAGATGAGTTGTGTTGTGCAACTTATTAATTAATTAATAACTTTTTTGTTAATGAAGAACTTTAAAAGTCGGTTTAAATATGATCAAGCAATTGATTTCAATTATTGTGTAAATACTTCTTTGAAATTTGTGCTTAAATTTTTAACAATTTCTCTAATTTGAGGAAAAGAATTTTATGTAAATATTTTAATGTAAATATTTGTTCTTTTGATCGATTTGTTCTTAAATACATACAATCAAACGCATTTAAATCCGATATAGGCGAGTTATTGTAGTCACCGTTGTAATAGAAGGAAGGCGATTCACGACACACAGTGCTAACATATTTCGACATTTCACTCACTAAATTTAAAGTATTTTTTGCTTATTTATTTAACAATTACACCGACTGGGAGTTAACGGACTTCGCATTCATTTGGTATATTTCGATTACCGACACAGAAATAACTAAATACATTTGAAGCATATTTTCCAAACAGAGACTCTCAAGATATACGACTATTAACCACACCAACACACAGAAAACACCCCCAATTGTTAGCCAATGGGATGAATTCAGTTCTTTTTCCCCTTAGCCAATACGAAAGCATGGTGAAAATATAACACAGCTGTGATAAGGAAATGTAATAATGTATTAAATTGCTTGTATTTTATTGAGACATGGTTTGTGCATATAAGCAATTATTTTTCGATATTTATTCATTGCGTTTACTTTGCCAAAAAAACGTTTTCCAAACGATAACTCATAATTCACTCGGTTCTGCCTATAGTTAAGCAGATTATATAACATTAGCACATTTCACAATGATATTGTAATGTGAAAATAATTCAAATAATTAATTGAAACTGTAAAAATAGTAAATAAAATAAAATGAATAATTTATATAGTTCGACTTTTAAATCCTGCTGATTATATCTGTTTAAAATATCTTAAAAGCTGTCTTTTATTTTATAGACGTTGCTAGATTTACTCAAATGTCGAGCTCTACATCCTCTACTACCTCTAATCTCCTTCCATTAGACCAAGTTATACCCAACATTATACTCTACTTACTGAATGTCTTGAGGTAATCGAACATAACCATAACATACACACGATGTATTATTAAATTCAGCAGCAAACAGTCTGGTATGTTTCACACAGACTCACACATGGAAGAGCGCTTATAATTATTTCGTAGTTTATCTTACCGCACTTGAAAAAACGGGGCCCATCCGATACAAAAGTTGTGGTCGGAAAATAGAAAAGTGTTTGTTTTTATATATGAAAATTTAGGGTATATTGCTTATGTTAAAACGAATGTACAAGGGATAAGTGGAGATGTTCGACCTTACAAAGTTCTTGATCAGCATACGGTAAATTTAGCATTGTACTGTATTTTAATATTGCATTGTCCAGCACTGTACTGTACTGTATTGTATAGATTCCCGACCTAAACACTCATCCTTGTTGAACACCATACTTTCCTCCATATGCTTAACTTTTTATGCCCTGAACCTGAACGTTGACAATGAGAATAAGAAGTGGACGGGAGACGGTGTGGCAGACCCCATAAAATATATGTATTTGATTAATGCGACGAGCTAAGTCGATGTCCGTCGTCTTGTACTTTGTAATGTACTTGTACTTTGAAATGTATGCTCTATGTTTATGTATGTTTATGTATGTTTATGTATGTATGTTTATAATTATTATATTTTTCGATAGCTCATCCTTTCTTCTAATTATCGGTACAAATTGAACATTTGACTTTGTTTTTAAGCGTAGCTTGAATACTGTACATTTTCAGATTTACTGCGTAATTAATACCAAACATTGTATATTTCAAATTTTTCCCTTTTTATTAAAAACGTCCTTACTAGAGGCATCTGCTTTGTCAAATACAAGCATCTGAATACCATAATGCCCAGAAAACTTAAAGCAGTTATTAGTATACTTTCGAATGCATATATTGTTTGCTATGTATGTATAAAAAAAGCATAATATAATTGGATTATCAGCTCCTGGCAGGGTTTAGGGTATCTGCTAGTCGAACAGTTTCGATAAGACCACATTTACTTATTTGCTTAAGGCTAACCCAAACATTTGTGTAATAAAACATGGATGAGTGCTTTAGACGTTACCTTCCGATTCAGATATACTCCTCCAATTTCTATTCACCGTTAAAGCATAAGTCACGAAATTTCATGTTCAATTCAATTCAGCAAATATTCCAATTAATCATATATATATATATATATATATTCATATATATATATATATAAGTTTCTGTATACAAATTGCAGCTAATGCAGCGATATTTGAAACCCCTGATGCATTATGAATTATATTATAATTATATTATAATTATAATTTGATACATTTAGATAAATCAACATTTCCTTATGATCGATAAATATCGATATTTTCATTCGATTTTAAAAAATAACATGCAAGTTAAGCATTTCATTTAAAGACTACAGAGATTGTGAAGACTTTTTTATTGATGGTTCAAATAATGGTTAGAAACTCTAACTCTAAAAATACTCTAACAAGATTGATAAAGTGGGAAACGTACTTACCTAGTCATTCCTACGATTCAGAGTGACATGTGGAGAAATAAATAATATTATATCTATATTCTGCCATTGCACCAAGACCCTTAAATCTCATCTAGACATAGATATAATTTTAAGCATTTGGTTTGATATCTTTATTGTGTGTCCAATAATGTTATTCTTAAAATACGGCACTTGTTTACGAATTCAATAATTGTATTTATGAATTGTCTTCCTTGCTGTCTACCCGATATGCTCTCAGACCTCATTGCAGTCCACCTGCCTTTCTGCATGGGCCCTAGTGTTTCGAAAAACTGCTAATAGGACACTGCTAATAGACGTATCTAAATACGTCTCTCCTAGAAAATTATTTATGATTAGAAGCCATCGTACTTCTAATGCCATATATATATAAATATGATACTATTCTAGTGTTTGAAAAAGGCAAACGGAGTAACCGACCGATAAGGCCTTTCTCCTGTATGAGCTCATCGATTGAGATAACTACAATCGTTTGAGAATTTGAGCACTTAAAATATAATAATGCAAATATAAATATCAGCCTCTTTGTAAAGGGAGGAACTGTGGGATGAACAGGTGTGCAATACGTCTATCGAGTTTTTTGTTTAGAATGATATAGTGTCTATAGCATTGGAAGCGTGTCTTAATAAAAGTACTAAAATTGCAAATTCAAAAAAAGATATGAGCTCGCATCTCGACTATTCAATAAATATTTGCTTTCGCCACGACTCAAACCTAAGTCACTGTACCGCTTCTAATACCCTGTCACTTGAACATTTATTAGGGAAATGAAAAATCCCAAACCACGTACAACTCAATCTTAATATCATTTAAGTGTATATGTGGCAGAGCAATGTAATTTATGCTTAAAAAGACTTGCTTCAATAACTTTTGCGTTACTTAACGGACTTATTAAATTTTAGTAAATTAAAAAAAAATAGAGTGGTAGCAATACTTTCAACAGGATATCAATTTAAACGCTTTTATTATATTTGGAGCTTACTTTAAATATATACCAAAATTGTTTAAAATAAACATGATTAAGTAAATGAAGTTAGATATTTTTGTGTAAATGCATGTTCAAGTTATCGATTGTTTGAAACAAACTCGATCTGCGCTTGCTAAAGGAAGACCAAGTGTAAAATTTCAAGTCCCATGTCCCATTTTCAAAATTTGAAGGGTATAGAAATAATACTGAATTTTACTATCTTACATATAAACCAAGCGTGTAATACTTTTCAATTGCTGTAGTATCATAGATTAGGAGTCATTACAAAAAAGTGTTATATTTTATTTATTATGAAACATACATGAGGTTATTTTCGTAAATACTAATATAAATTTAAAAAATTAAAACCGCTGTATTTTTCTTTAAATTCTACACAAAATAATTTCAAGTGTTCAATTTAAGGTATTGCGTTTGCCCGCTTAGCTGCCATGCTTAGCGCTGTGTAGATATGTATCTATGTATATACAAAAGTGCTTCGCTCGAGAGCTCGTGGGTGAAATAGCGTCTCTCCACGCTGAACTCTGCCTGAATTTAAAGCTTCTTTGGAGATAATCGCAATCAAGTCATCAAAAGCTCATATTTCAAGTTCATTTTCAACATACATATGTAGAAGCGACTCAGTTTCGTTTTAAACTCTGAGTGTAACACAACTAACTGAGAATATATTTAATAAACACTATATTCATACACATGTACGTATTTTACTATTTAGAATTTTTATATTTGTCTCAGTGTGTTTAATATACTAACCTGTAAAAACCAATCGTGTTATACTCTCATTGTTTACAATTTTAATTGAAAATTTTCAAACAATTGAGATAAACATCTCTAAATATACATATCTATTTACTATTAAAAGTGTATATATGTATGTTAGGATGTATGTAAATACACAAGTAGACTATTGTCTCCCTGTTTGTAAACAAGAATCCAATGATTCAAATTATACACTAACATACTTAACTATGTATGTCCATCGGAACACACAAATTTATCTGTGTGTGCATGCATTCGAAGATGCGGTTGCATGTGTATGAACATACATACATAAGTACACCTATAACATCCGTAGACATTTACATATATACTAATATATGTAAGTTTGAGTATAAGCGGACTTGAAAGTTAAACCGGTTTGTATAAACTGTATTTACACACGTATAACAACGATGAGACATTTTTGGCAGTTAAAAATCAATTTTATAATATAATTATATATATATATATATATAGATTGGGAATTATTTAATTAATTTAATCATTGCTTGTATGTATCATCATAAAGTATTCAATACCCGGTTATATAAGAATATAATATGCATATGATAATTCGTACATGTACATATGTTAGTAAAAGGGGATCTTCTGAAGAATAATACAATACCGGTTCCTTATCAAGTGTGGTTTATTACCTTCGACATTACTTATTTCTTATTACTTCAAGCAAAGCTGAGCTTAGGTGAGCAATAGGTCAATTCATATTGATAAGGAACTTTTCTATAAATTGGGTTATTAACTGAATTTTTAAGACTAAAAAAACATTTAATACATACTCTCCCTCAATTGAACAGACATTCACAAAAATTAGTGTATTTGCACAGTATATATAAAGTATTTTCCATTGGAAACCGGCGAGTTAAGAGTAGTATACAAAAACTTTACTTTCGACTTTTACATTTTAATAGCAACCTATTTACATAAATACGTTAAAATTAGTACGAGTATAGCGACTGCACATTTGAAGAAATATAATTGAGGAGGAATCCAAAAAATTCATAATAAATGATTCCTCGATTATTTAATGATTTAATATTCATGAGTGTTTAATATACGTTTAATATTAAGTCTAAAACATTTTTTTCAATTTGAATGAATGAATTAACCTATATACGAATCTGAAAAATAACTCAAACTTACACATGAGTTCGACGATCTACCCAGTGTATGAACAGATTTAAAAAATAATTATTTAAAATTAAAATAGAATGTCAGGTGATCGGAATATTATACATATAATTTTTTAACAATAAAATTATTTTTACCGTAAACTCTTCGAAATAGCACTGTGAAATATCATGAAACAAGGGAAATATATGTGTGTGCATTTCGCAGAGTTTAGGGTATATCCTAGTCGGGCAATCCCGACCTCTTACATGTTTACTTATCTAATGCTTACATTGTTGTTGCTTTTAGGCACCCCAATGATGATAATTAAGTGTTTTCTAGTAGTGCTTTTGGCATCTTTCTGTTTGGGCGTCAATACCACTTTAGACGATCTTATTTCGGAGATTTTTAAAACAGACAGTTCCACACAAGGAACACCAACACCTCCTTTACAGCCTTCGACCCCTACACAACCTTCGACCCCTACACAAATCAAATATGAGTCATGCGGTATTCAGAAGGAATGTGTGCCTCGATGGTTATGTGCAAACGATACGATAAATACTAGTGGAGAAAATATAATAGACATTCGAATTGACGGACCTTGCTCAAATTATTTGGAACTATGTTGCGAAATTCCCAACAAGGTATTTTGACATAAAGCCTATTATTGCTGACAAAAACAAACTGAGTTTAGTTTTTTAATTGATTTAATATTTTTTTTAACTAGAGAGATAAACCAGATATATCGGTCGAACCTATTGATCGGGGCTGTGGATACCAGAACCCTAACGGAATTGGCTTCAAAATAACGGGAGCAATTGATCAAGAAGCGGAATTCGGAGAGTTCCCGTGGATGGTTGCAATTTTAAGGGAAGAGTCTCAACTTAACTTATATGAATGTGGAGGCGCTTTAATAGCCCCAGACGTTATACTGACAGCGGCCCATTGTGTTCATAACAAGGATGCAAAATCTCTCATCGGTAAGAATACCTGAACAGCTTAAGCTTATACCAATTTTAATATCTTATATTTATTTCAGTGCGGGCTGGTGAATGGGATACGCAAACGAAAGTAGAAATAATTCCGCATGAGGATCGTTATGTGAAGGATATAATATATCACGAACAGTTTAATAAGGGATCTCTTTATAATGATGTTGCCCTACTTTTCTTGGAAGTCCCATTTAGCTTCAAATTGAACATTCAACCTATATGCCTACCGAATAAAGGGGAGGAGTTCGAGCTAGACCGCTGTTACGCAACGGGTTGGGGAAAGAATAAATTTGGAAAGGAGGGCGAATACCAAGTTATTTTGAAAAAAATAGACTTGCCTGTCGTTGAAAATGTACAATGCCAAAACAATTTACGCGAAACACGGCTTGGAAGGCATTTTATATTGCATGATAGCTTTATGTGTGCTGGAGGAGAAAAGGGTAAGGACACCTGTAAAGGCGATGGTGGCTCACCCTTAGTGTGCCCAATTAAAGGTCAACCAAACCGATTTAAATCTGCTGGCATTGTTGCGTGGGGTATAGGTTGTGGTGAAGAGAATATACCTGGTGTATATGCAAAGGTTTCGTATTTACGACCATGGATAGATCAAAAACTTGCCTTGCGACAAGTTGATCCTAAATACTTTACAGCTTAACCGATTAATCATTTAAAATACAATTTGTATCAATTTTGTTCAATGAACTGTGCAACAATAAATTTTCAAAATAATAAATGAGTTGTGTATGAAGAAGTCTTTTTAAAAAATTCCAGTTAAATCTTTAATACTTATATTGGATTTAAACAAACTTTCATTACTAAAAGTCACTGCGTGGGACTCCATTATCTCAAGCTTTAGTTGAATTGTTTAATATTTTTAGACCAACAAAATAAATAAAAGTTCTCCAGTCGGCAGTGCCCGACTATCACACATAATTAATAAATACAATAAATACTACACAAAACTATTTTGCGCTGAATTTAAGAAAATAAAGAGCATATATGAATTTAATATGCATTAAACATGTAATTTGTGTCATGTCTTCATATCTTTTCTAAATTCAATTTGATGGCTTGATAGATTGCGATAATTTTCTGATTGCAATTGTTGACGAACAACGCGGAAATCATATTGACTTGCTCGCATATGTCACAAACATATTTACTTACACACATTTAAGATACTTAAAATGAAGTTTAAAATGTTTTCAAGATTTGGTGGCCTGTCGTGATCCAGTTGCACATGGTTTTACATAGGATCCACCTGCAGCCCAATTACCACTGTCCGTAGAACGATGATTTGGCCTCGCCATGGCAAATATTTTGGTCAACAATAGGATTGCCCCATTCATTCCTCTTCGAGCTCTTCTCGAATCAGGTTCACAGATAAATGTCATTATAGCTTGTCAATCAAACTAACTAAGTCATCTTTAGCTGCCTTGATTTGGGTGAGTGAGGCTTTTCTACTGATGAATACAAAATAGTTTGTAAATCCATGCGGAGGCAGAGATTTGCAGCGATTCTGCTAGAAGCACCAGCTTAAGGCAGGCTAACGTGAAGAAGGAAAAGTATAATTTTTCTTCTTCTTGTTAGCTGCAGTTATTGGCACGGACGACAACATTATTTTTAAAAGGGACTCCGCCAAAGTTTATTAGCGACCTAAAACTATGAACATACGCTAATGTTAATCTGCAATACGTATTCTGGACACGTCAGCGAGATAAAAACTTAGCTCTTCTTTATCGTCAATTAAAATAGTGAATTGCCACTCCGTGTATGAACTTTACTTTTTTTCGATAACTGAGCCCAAAAAGGTTTAATACTTCCATGATATTCAACTCCCAAAATAATGCTCTATTGCAATAAAACATTGGTTTTGCATAACTAAATATAAAATATACATGAAACTAAATGCAATATTTTGCTATATCAAATAACTGAAATTCACAAGTCTCCAGCACTTCTAAGTTCAAGAGTTGATAGACGGAAAACGGACAGAGAGACTCCCGGACAAGTCCAAATCGACTAAGCTCGTCGATCTGATCAAAAATATATATATTAATTGGGTCTACTGTTTCAATGTATGAAGAAATTATGGGTAGAATATAATTAGTCGCTTGGAACGTAATATTCCTAGCAAGGAAACAAAACATTGACAGTCAACTAATGAAAGAATTGTATAACTTCCATTCACTTTTCACAGTCTTAATTGAGTGTTGATATGTGTATATCCGGAAGATGCGACCAATCGTAACGTTTAAATTGTAAACGAGGGTAGTTTTTTAATGAAAGATACGCTAAATAAATGTCGTGTACAATAGAGGATTCAATTGCTGTCGTAATTTTCTACTGCAAAATAATCGCAATGTCTGAATCTACCCTCGAATTACTTTGATACACACAGTCATACGTACGTGTTAATATACCGTATTCGGAAATCAATTCCTTATAATAACCGTAGATATGTTTGTTAAAAGTTGTAAGCTAAAACCTATGTATATCTGTATGCTTTTACCAGTGAGTTAAACAGACATAAGACACGCGATCGAGTGCTTTCATTCGTATAAAGTATTTCTCTTTTCTGGTATTGTACTTGAACCATAGAGGGTTCAGCTGGTCTACATTTTCTTTTTTCATATTACTTACACTGTGATACAAAATAAGAAATTGTGTTTAAATTGATCTTTATAAAATAAAAAAGTGATAATAGAAAGCATTGAATGCATATACGATGAAATTTAGTAACCAAAATCCAATTATACTATTTCGAAGATTTTTAGCAAATGGAAATTCAGAAATCCCCGATCTCCGAAATGCAGCCAGCTGCTTTGTTATGATTCGAATTAACTAAATTTTATTCGCTTAATTAAATAAAACATCTCTTAATAAATGTTTATGCAACTTATTCTAATTACTTATTCTGTAATGTGATGTACAGTTGTAATGGCATAATTTAAAATTTTGCGTATAAGATATGCTAGCTTGAGTTTAATCAGGCTTGATTTAAAATAATTGTTGACTAGTGTTTTTATAGCTAGTCTTTAAAATTAAAGACTAGTGTAAAAACTATTTTATGTTAGTTAACCTGAGTACAAACTGTTTTGCCATGTGAGTTGGTAGCGTCTATAAATGCCTTATCCGATATTTCAAACATTCATTGCTGCTGAAGATCGCTGGCATCAACATCACAAATTAATAAAAAGAGTATAACTGCAAAAAGTTTATATTTTGCTTAATGATGACTATTTGCGTAAGATTAAATCATCAATTTGCAAAACTTGTAAACAACATTTTTAAATTTCAGATTTCTTGTGCATTTTCAATTATTTTAATTTCATCATTTATGCATACAGGAGAGACACAAGTAAGCTCCATTCTAAATAAAAAAAATGCCGTGAATATTCGAAATACCACGAATACTCATTTGAAGCATTCACAGACTTATCCTGATAATCAGAACATTGAAAATTTGGAAACACAATTCATTTTGAATCGCAGCTACAATGATGTCAGAAAACGTAGATCCAAAAACAAACGGCAATCAGTCCGGCATGCAAAAAATGTACTATTCACCAAATCTGCAAATCAACTGACTAAGCCTAAGAACAACAAAGACGTAAGGATATATGAAACTTTTGAAGAAATTCATGAGCATATAAATGAGCCTAGCGATCAAGACTCAGATCACCAGGCGTCTAACCGATACGAAAACAATGATGAAGTAGTTGGTGGAGTAGAAATCAGTGAGGAGAAGAAAGAAAATATGCCGATTAAAATAAAAGTAAAACATCATCATCACCACCATCATCATAATCATATTAAAGAAGTTATAAAAACTGTACCTAAACCGTATGCCGTAGAAAAAATTGTGCATATTCCGATAGAGAAAATAGTGGAAAAAATTGTTCAAGTTCCGAAAATTGTAAATGTGACTGTTGAAAAAATAATACATGTTCCTGTTGAAAAGGTTATTGAAAAGATTGTTCGAGTTCCAAAACCCGTTCATATTCCAAAACCTTACGTAGTTGAGAAAATTATGGAAAAAATTGTGCATGTGCCCAAACCGTATCCAGTACTAAAAACAGTTCCCTATCCAGTTGAAATTAAAGTGCCTGTAACTGTTGAAAAGAAAATTCCGGTACCATATACTATAGAGGTTGAACGTAAGGTACCAGTATATATTAAATCCCAGGAACCATATAAATATGAACAAGCACATTATAAACATTTTGATCAGAATATTACACCAAAGTATAATACACATTATGAAGAAACGTCTAACGATCCTGTTCATTTATCCGAAAGTTATAATTATAACCATAAACTCAGCCCTTCCAAGGAAATGGAATTCCCGAGGAAACCTCAATATCATACTTATAATGAAGCAAAAGATCAACACCATGCGAATCCGGATGGACTAATCGAACAATCAACAGCCGAAAGTTCATTCCTTCCGATCAAATTCCATGAATCGAAGACTCCATATAATCTGCTTGTGGCCTATAATGAGACATCATTTGAACTAACTCCACAAACATTTGCCAATAAATTACAAGAAATACCATTTTCATTTCCTATTGAATTTCTTCAGGTGCAGCCAATGCCTTTTCAAAATGCTGCCCGATTGGAATCGTCTATATCACAGCCGTCATTTAAAAATACTTGATGAACTAAATAACAAATATTTAAGTCTTTTTCATAAGCTTCTAAGAAATACATAATAACTAATAAATATACTAATTGATTGAAATTTCTCAAGAAAACATAGCTTTTTTAAATTGTTAATGTTAGTCATAGTACGAAACAAGAAGTTCTAAATAACAGATGAAATAAGCTCTATTTCGATTTATTTTATTTATTCTTTTTTTGGTACTCTAAAATCAGTAAAGTGAGTCAACAGCAACTTAATCGTTCAATTTTGAGTTTCTAAATGCAAAGCTATTTTGACACAGTTTTTCCCGATTTGCCGTGCTCTCTGTAGGAAAGGACATATCCTTACATCATCAGTAACGTAACTCAAATTTTGGCACTGAATCTCCAAAAATTAAGAATAGTAATAATAGTACCCGAATAGTCACCTCCTATGGGTGCAAATAAAGAATCTATATCTTTAAATGATTATCGTACCCCCGAGTTTATATTCCAAACTTTTGAGTAGCTAGTTCCAATAGTGTGAAAAATGTAACAGAGCTCGACCACTTCAGCTTATATTTCTTACTTGATGTATACTTCATGGGTGTGCCACGCCTCGTTCTGCGTTTCATAAATTTTCACAAAAGCGTTCTGAATTCCTATTTACAAGGACTAACAATTAATATGAAATATGGAATATGAAAGGATTTTAGCAAACATCTCATTCAAGAGAACCATCTTACGCTATTTTCCGAATTTCATCTCAATTGCACAAGTATTGAAAAATTACCAGAAGTATGCTTTCGTCGGAAATTTTGATTGATTTAATGGATTTCAATTTAACACATGGAACATGAAGCATCAATCCAAAGTCAGAAATATGAATTAAAATAAAATTGTACCTGTGCTCTCATTTATAAAGACGTGAAAATGGGAAGGACTAAATCGATTCAATTGATAGTTGATCGGGTCACATTTTCGAGAATTTTAACAAAACTATTATATCTCATGCATAAATACTCAAATGAATCAGCGCCCTTATTCCCAAACATGAAAGAGTACTCTATTCGAGACTCGATTAGGAAATGCCATGAACCCTACAAAGCGGTGATATCCCAATTATTGTTATTTTATACATACATGACAAACAATACATGCATATATACATAGAAACAAAAGCACACATAAGCACGCGCTCTTCTTATTGCGCAGCTTACGTAGCGGCTACGCTTGGGCTTGGGCTGCAGTATTTGCTTTATTATAGCTTTTAATTATTACAAAAGTTTTCTTGATAGATTTTCTTAATGAAATTTTTACAGGACAATAATGGAATGCTTATTTGCCTTAGCGCAAGCTTCAAGTATTTGAAATACTCTTCACGGATGGAAAAAATAAAACCATTTTACATAAACATCAAATCTATGAGTAAACATACTAGGTCTTGTGTAGACCGAAATTAAATTAGAAATCGTTTATGCTTTATAACTGTTAAGTTGTTTAATGTAAATTCCTGTAGATTCCAGTGACTACGGCGTAGTCTGAACACTAATTCGAATATCGTGTTATATTATGTCCAGATAATGAGGAAATTTTAATGGACGAACATGAGAGCCCTCACAAAATACAGTTAAAGGCGTTTTCAAGAGCTCCGGTAGACTCTAATCCCATTGAAAATTATCTGGCTTTATGCCTTGTAAGATCATTGTGGGGTTCTGAGATGAATCGAATCGAATCACATCGATGCCGTCGCACAGTAAAGCCTCTGCCCCAATCAAAATTTTGAAAATGAAATCCTAAATAAATTAACGCAACTGACATATATTCATCAACATACTCTGAATCTAATTTTTTAGTACCCTGGACCCATTGATAATGAGAGAGCAGGGTACAATGGGTTTGATTAAATGTTAATATAAACTAGCAGAAGAAGGCGTGGCTGACCCCGTAAAGTATATATATTCTTGATCAGAAGATCGAGGTGTCCTATAAGATGACCTATAAGAGCTTGACGCTTCATATTATATAATTTTTATTACCAGCAGCAATAACGATTACCACGAAATGTCATCGACGGCTCAGGTTAAGCGATTACGCAGGGTGTCAGGAAGAATATGACACTCACTTCCCTTGCGGGTTGCGGGAAATGCGGGCGGAATCAATCTTCTGGATTCATTCGAGTCCAGTTCAAACTCAAAATACGTATGCCACATTTTAGCCGAAAATTGATCTCGACACGTTTGACCTCGTCACTATCAACCTGAAGTCAAGATAGTGACAGCGGTAGAGAATATCGTGCTGACTCCACAGCACAGTAATAAAGCGGAAGTTGCAACATATTCTACAAGTTGTCGAAACTGCAGGGTTAATGCTTTCCGTTAAACCACATGAAAGGCGTTGGCTCCCGATCCTGGAAGCAAGGCGCTAGTCCACACACCATCTGCTGAAGTTGTGTAAGAAGGATGATATTGGACGTCGGGGGAAACAAGATCAACGAAGTTAATCCGCTTACGCAACTTACGGCCGAACTCAGAAGGAACTCAGGTGAAAAATATCATGATGAAAATCAATGATGGAAAGATCGATACCGACCTCGACAGCAAACGCGAGAGTGCTTTTATCACAAATGCAATTTTGGCTGTCTACAGGAAAAATTTTTATGCCACTTCCTCAGATTGATCCAGTCTAAAACAAAGTACAGTACTAATAATAGAGATATTCTAAACTTCTCCCCGACATTTTCGTCATCTAAGCGTCATGTCGCAATCGTAAACCATATATACGGTATTAACTTCAAGCGAATCTAAGAAGCGAAGACGAATAATTTATCAGGCCTAGTAAGCGAGCACAAATCATAGGTGTTGAAGGCTTTGCAGATAGAAAGCTTGCTCTAAGCGATCTTTGCTTCACAACTTTTCAACGTACCATGAGAAGAACCCTGGATTCTGGGCTCGATCATATTCATATGGACATAGTTAAAATGCCTTTCAAAGCAGCTTTAAAGTGCTGTTGCTCGGCCTCAGTACTTGCTGCAATGAAATCGTACATGGTATTTGATTGAGGTTAGCAAACGAATTCTATAATGACTTGATAATTCATGTTTTTTGCTTTGTATTCGCCCAAAAACTTCGGCCACCATAGCAACCACAGCGTATTTGTACTAAAGAAGTGACAGATCGCCCATCTCACATCGTCGGAGCATCAGTCGCTGGGCTCATAGAATGTTTGAGGCCAGCGTTCACCACAGATAACGAGAACAGCAGTAACCGAGGATGATCATTACCCCGGACGTATTCGAAAAGGCCTCATTCGTGTTTCACTTAGTCAAGAGGGTGGCATTGTCGCCAAAATCTTGGATTATTGCCTTTGAAAGGCAATTTAAATTTTGCAAATATTTAGCTTTGTTGGTTGTGCGACAATTTCAGTAATACGTGTTTAATAGACAGAAATCTGCGACTTCTAATCAAGATTGACTTCGTCATCTTCTGTTCAGGGAGTTTGCAATTTAGTTTTCCAAATTTGTAACTATTGTTAGCAATATGTATTAGATATCTAAATACGACACCAGACAAACTGGGATATATACGCTTGAGACAAAGAATGTATAGATCTTTATTTGCTGCAATAGATAAAGATATGTTTAATGATTGCCAATTTTAATACGATTGATTGTGGCGCTTCAATTGTCAAGTAGTACACTAACTATATTAGAGGTAGATCTGCAATCTCTCAGATGATGATGATGATGAATGACGATTGGATAAGAATTAACTGCAGGCCAATGTAGTATTGAGTAAAGTTGTGTTTTCGACTGAATATGAACTTCGCTTTGAACTTCACTTATGTTAATTCAAACTTTTGAGGCAGATTACTAGAAAGTTTTAAAGAGAATATAAAAGAGATACTACTCAAACATTTATATTGTAATCAAAATCAGCAATACAAAAATGTAATTTATTTTCAAACTAAATGTAATTTTATTTCGAAACTAAATCAAAACAAGCAATTAATTTTAACAGCCAACAGCACCTACAAGTTCGTTTCATATTTTTACTCAGTTTCGTTTTTACTGAGTAAAAATATGAATATGTTTATGAATTTATCAACTTTTTTATTTTTTGAAAACTGCATTAGTTATAATGCAAATAAATTTTAAAGTTTTTTCCTTCATTTTCAATAATAATTATATTTGGAATATTACTCGTATATTTTGTAAAAATAAGTTTGAATAATTTTTATTTTGTGATAAATTTCCGATTGTTAAACGTGCATTTAAATGCTGATGCTAGTCAGTGAGAACGACTTACACAATATATTTCTGTCAATTCTGTACGTTTATCAATACTGATACAAAAATTGTAAATATTAGACTAATAGCTATATGCTAAAATTAAAAGTCATTCAAAAATTATAACGCAATTGAATTCGATATTCATACTGCACACAATACATCATAAATTCTTTATAACATTTTATGTGAAGCTAAGAATGAAAAAATGTCTACAGAGGAGTTGCCAGCTGATTTAGACAAACTGAAAATAACACCAAAAAGGGAACACATCAGATTATGTGACAAAAATCCATTTTATAGTCCCAGCATTACATCCAGCACTGAAACAATTGTGGCACCCATACAAAATACAAAGCAAATAATTCATTGTAAGATGCGCCGAATACGTCGAAGATCAGAGAGCAACGTTGATGATTTCGATAAGCAATTGAATACTTCAGTTCCTTCTGCTTCAGATAATTTTGAAATTTGCGTTAATCCTTTACGAGTGAATAAAATTCAATTGAAACGAAGCAATATTACAGTATCGAAAAGAAATCTGCTACGTGAACCTGTACTACGAATCGCGCATGACAATCTATATACGAAAGGTGGTTTTGGTACCCGTATTCGTCGCTCGATTCCATTAAATCTAGACGAAAGAAATCGCGTAAATTGTCACAAGCCGCGAATTAATATAAACATTAAGTCAAGTATAATTGGAATTTGTAGTTTTCGGGATCTAATCAGCGAATGCAATATATTGCTGGATGAATCTCAATCTAAGAAGCACCCGTTGGACAACAACTTGCATATGTCAAAAAACTTCATAACATGTCAGCAACGAGGGACAGGGCCTCAAAAAAAACTTCACAGAAATGGCGATAATAATGGAGATGACCAGGCAGTTAAACATCGTGGTCTTGGCAGGATTACCTCCATGGCCAGTTCCAGGTCTACTTCCAGTTCCAAACTTTCATGTTCCCAGGAAGCAGGCAACAATGGAGTAAGCCCGAGAAATTGCGACGATATCACCATAGTGGAGTTGGCTAGTTATTTCGACACCATGGTGCATATTCCTAAGAAGATGTCCTCGATGGCTGAAATGATGTATATTTAAGAATTTGGCACTGCCAAAATTATATTTAATTTACTTCAAGCTTAAAGAATGCCATCTGTGTGTTATTTACTTGTATATAAACAAAATATTTGAATGAGTGTCAATAGATTAAATCTAAGCTTTATCAACTGTGCATACGCATACAATCTAATTATAATATTAAGATCTATAATACTAATAATGGAGAAAGAATTACGTCTTTAAATTGATTTGTAATTAATTATTTCCTCCTATTTCGCCGATATCACATAACAAAGTGCAAAAATATATTCAATAGAAACCATTTTCAGATCGAGTTCATAGAAAAACTCCAATCCAAAATTATACCATATCCCTCTTGTGTTTTAACCCATGTCTGTGTTTAAAAGAACTGAGTTGTGTCCTCTTGTGGCGATGCAGTCACCTATTAGCTGTTTATCCAGCATTAAGCCTTGTCCATAGGCGTTTTCTTCAAGAATTTAAACATTAGTTTACTTTTACGTATAGATATATTTAGACAATCGGGCGATCGCAAAATATTTAAAGAAAATCTCTCATCCTTTAATGAATTAAAATATCTGCTGTTAGAATAATCTCAATAGAGAAGCTGTTCTTTTCCCTCAATCAAAGCAGTGTAAACTCCGTATTAAAATGGGTCTTTTCATATATTACAAACAACAATAATATAGTGCTGAATGCAAAAGCGCTTTTAAAATCTTGACAACCAGGTATTCATTATTTACCATGGCAACTCCGCATTTTGTAATCTAGACAGTTCATATAGAATCCGAATTATAAGTAGCAGTGTTTTTTTCTTCTAAACAATATACATATATGCGAATCTCGAACATGACTAAAAACAAAGCTAGCAAAGACCCTTGGGCCAGTACTTTTTTTTGGATTTTGGTAAGTTACCTGCCTGCTAAAGCTTTTTAAATACAACTCTTTAGAATTGATATCTCACGAGTACTATAATTTCCTACTATTGTTTAACCACTTTGATAGCTGCTAGCCAATCTCGTTCTCCTGCACATTTACTAATCCGTGTCAAATTAAAAAGTCGAAAATCAATTGATATATTGATATATATAGAAAACTTAAAAAGTACCAGGTATGTATGTATATATATTTATACATATATATATATATATATATATATATATATATATATATATATATATATATATATATATATATATATGCATATATTTGAGAGAGCAGGGAACGGAGAATAAGCATAAATATGATGAAATATGAAATATAAGGAATAGAATAACTTCATTAGAGTGGGCGCTTGACTGTAATCTTCGTTAAGAAACAAAGTTGTACAAGGATAACAAATCCTTGACTTGAGACTAATGTTATACAATAATCAAGAAATCAGCGTCCAAATACTTTCAATGAAATACATATGCATATGTAAATATACCGCCCTTCCAGGGTTGCCAGGTAGGCATGGAAATATCATTTTTGGCCAATTTTTAGAAAAAGTCGGTCTATAGCATATATAACACAGGATTCTTACCTAAATAGGCGTAGATATACATGCGTAACTTCTCTATATATTTTCTGGGAATTTGTATAGGATTTTTGCAATTCTTAACATCGTTTTCATGTCAACAACAAGCAATACGTCGTGAAAGATGTATTTTCAAAGGCCATCAGCAAAGGGAGAATAAGGAACGCAAGGCCCACTGGCTAAAATTAAAAAATGTCATAACTTGTCAATTGGGTAAGCCTGAAGTAATTAACAGAAAGCCACCGTATAAAGCAGACGTGGATAGCCTTCTGAAAAAATTGTCCACTGTCAATTACAACACTGCTAGGAAGTTTGGTCGGTAGTCTAAATTCATAAATCGCACTATGCTCCTTTACAGAAAAGTTGTTGGCTATTTTTAACAGACAAGTAGATTGTTTCACCAACATTATCTCATTAATCGTATGTACTTACATATATAAAGATAATTTCCGTCGACAATTAAAAAAAATTTATTAATTATAGATTTGCAAGTCATCTAAGAAACCAATCTTAAAGTTCATATGTATGTACAAAATTATCAAAATAAAAATTGTCGCAATAATGGTTTGAGAATATTATATTTCTTATTTGACTTAGTTGACTAAAGTCTAAAACGGTATTATGCACTATAGTTGCTTATTGATGAGCATGGGAAAATATGTATTTGTATTGGGCATAGTTTTCCATGTCAACTTCAGTTAGGATATAATATATCATAGTGTCCCGGTCTATATATAAGATACACTTTTGGATCTGATCCTTCAGGGAAATCATGGGCTTTAACTTGTTCTCCTTCGCCCCTATCTAGGTACTCAACTCGCACACCAACTCCCAATGCTGTACACAACGCGATGATATGTATGTGGTCTGATTCCTTGTACATGGGTTCGACTTCTTGGTGACGAAATTCTTCAATTGAAAAATCGCCTTCAATAAAATGCTGATAGAAGTCAGCATCTTCCTGAAGTTTCCCAGACGTTATGAGACGTAAATAAACAACTACATAGTCGGAATACCCTTGATCGTTAAATAGTGCATGCAATTCGTTTTTAACTTTTTCAGTTGTTTCCGAATGGCTGGGACAAACACGCTTGATTACATCCATAAACTGACATGAAAAGAATAAACAACTAAATTATTATAATTACGAATTGTCTAACAGATAATTAACTTACAGTTTCATGGAAGTCTTCTAGTGTAAAACTTGGAAAACCGAGCTCTACAAGCTTGTCTTTCGAAGCTTCGGCAAGTTTTTGGAATTCCTGATAATCACTGTTATTGGTGATTAAATATTCCAAATACGAATAGGCAAATGCTCTGAAAAAACAATTACCATCGGGACGAGTACGCCGAATAAATTTATATTTTTTAAATAGTTCCTGTATCTTATCTGTAAAGACCTCATCACCATTATATTCGGCTTGTAAACAATTAAGCGGCAATTGCTCACTGACCAGAGGTGTTGAGTCGCTAATCTAAAAACAAAAAAATTGTATTATTATTATTTAGATTTATTACAACTATTACCTCTTTTTCAATTTCTCGCTGCTGTTGTATAATTAATTCGTCACGGTTGGCGTCATTATTTTCAACCGAATCCATGATTTTTTTCTGAAGAAACAATATTTTCTTTAATATCACAATTGATTTCGTTGTGTGGACATCTAAAAAACCATAATGGATGAATGGGGCCGTTGACAAAAACCAAAAAAATACTTAATTAATAAATACTAAATACTGAAAATAATTTTTGCTATTCAGACATCAATTTAGGGGAGCATTCTAATGCTTTAAATTCGATCATTATTTAAAACATTTAAGTAATTTAAATTGATTTTGCGTCAGATATATCGATACTTTGAATGGTCTGAAAGAATCGTAGTGGAATGGTGAGTATTTCAGGTAAATAAATTTATGATATCGATAAGAACATTGTAAGTTTGTTTTTCAATATTTAAAATGTATTCCTAAATTATAATTGTAAAAGAGTTTAGTTATAAGGTTTAAGAAAAAATTCTATTCTGGCCGTTAATGCCATTAATTTACTTTGCAAGTCGGTTTAAATCAGATTATTAGCTGGCTCGTGTAAAGTATGTCGTGTGAATGCAAATGAATAGTTCATATGCAAGTCACAGTTCCGGAGGATAGAGATATATATGTTTGGTCTAATAGCTTATCATTTATCATAGGTTGTTAATTGAACTAAAATGTACAAGTCTTAACGACTTCAACTAATTAACAGACAGTACGAAAATTAAAACACAACATCCAAGCTGTCGTAATTCGGTAAATAAAAAATTATTCCTTTTTAAAAACCTACTTTGAAAGAACTTTTCAATTATGGTAGTTCAAAAAATATTCGGCAATGCGCCACTCACAGAATGAAAAAATCTGTTTCTGTATATTCTATTTTTTAGTTGTTTTTGGAATGGAATGATAGTTCGGGCAAGTTCTTTATCAACAGTAGTATTGTTTATCCTTGCAGTTTACTTTTACGAGGACGGTTAAATTTTTCAATATGTTGAGTTTTGCGATTTTCACAGGTAAAGGAAATGTGCTACATTATTTATGATACATAACCGTAATAAGAATAGTAAGTGTATTGGATTCACACTATGGAATCCAGTCCCTTATCTCCACATTCAAACATTTTAAAGATTTTATTATTAAACATCCCTATGAATTTACTCTAAAAGTATTTGAAGCCATATGTACGCCGTTACCTCTGTTAACAATGTATTTACCTACCTTAGGCATTTTTACAATCATCTGTTATTTCAAGCAAAAAATCAGCTTTATTGGCAGTATTTCCAAACTTAATATAAACTTTCTTTATACGTCAACAACTCAGTAATGCAAGTCGTTCTTCGTATTCGTTATGGGTACTTTTTATGTAAAAATTAATTGCTAAATTTGAGGCTTGATAGGAAAGGGTATCGACTGAGGATCAACCTGTATAGTCATTGGAACTCTTATAAATCCGAGATCTAGGCATACAGACTGATGAAGAGCGTTAGTTATCCTGTGCTGTGGATCTAAATAATATATCTTTGAACTTGTAATATTACAACTTGCAACATGAATTCTCCTTTTAATAGGCTTCAGAAGTCGAAATTTAATTTTATCTCATAAAATGTGTTTGCCTTCTTTAAATCGTCTTAAATCCGTAAATCGATATTACATAAAAATATTAGAAAGCCAAAAGGCATTCAATAAAAAGTATTGGATTATTTTTACATAGCAAAGAATATTTTTAATATATATTATTTACAAACATTGTATTAACATTTTATAAATGCGTAACACGAAAAAAATATGGTTGTCCATTGAGATTAACCCAAAAACAGTGTAATTGATTCAAGTGTTCTTTACAGTTTTGAGTCCCCTGCGCCGGTTAGTCAATTTGAATCCAACACAGACATTGCTTCATTTTTCTCTTCTTCCAACTCCTTGCCAGTCAAATCCAGCTTGGACCTACCAAAAGTGCTCAAACCCAGGTTTTCAACTATTTTCCATTGCTTGTTTTTGATCTCAACAGGAAATGAAAACACAACGTCTTTTGGCGAACCATAGCTTCCATCGGAAAACACACCCATTGAAACAAATTTTCCTGGTGCAGTGCCATTCCACCAATCGTGCATATGGTCGCAGGCAGCCTTTGCTGCCGACATGGCTGACGACATTTTACGTGCGCCGATAACTGCTGCACCACGTTTCTGAACAGTCTCAACAAATGGACCTTCCAAATATGCATTATCTCCAACTGCATCAACAACATCTTTCCATTCGTTATTAATAAGAATTTTTCCATGGCTTGCATCTGGATATTGTGTAGAAGAATGATTACCCCATATAATTAAATTTTTAACGTTAGAAATCGGGACGCCTAGTTTCGATGCGATCTGTGCTGCTGCGCGATTTTGATCTAACCGTGTCATTGCCGAGAAGTTTTCGCGTGGAATCGATGGAGCGTAGTTGGCACAAACTAGGGCATTGGTATTAGCTGGGTTTCCAACAACCAGAACTTTTACATCCTTCTTTGCAACCTTGTCGAGAGCTTCGCCTTGCACTTTAAATATTTTAACGTTGGCAGACAACAAATCTTTGCGTTCCATTCCCTCTTTTCGGGGCATTGCGCCTACAAGAAACGCTGCGGAAACATCTTTAAATCCTTCCAGCGGGTCCGTTGTGGGCACAACTTTGCGCAACAAAGGCAATGCACAATCAGAAAGCTCCATAACGACACCCTCTAGAACTCCAACCATTGGCGGAATATCAAGCAGATGCAAAATAAGCGGTTGATCTTTTCCAAAAACTTCTCCCCTGGCAATCATATAAAGCAAGGAGTAAGCTATTTGACCAGCAGCTCCAGTAACAACAACGCGGATTGGTTCAGCCTATTAAAAATTTTTAAAAACATATATACAAATTAGATGTTTAGTATTTTTAGTACCCCAATCATAACAAACCGATATTTTACTAAAAACGATTTACTTATTCGGTTTCTGTAAGTTGGCACCTATTCTTTTTAGGGAAATTTTATATATTTCACTACCTCAATTTAAACATTCAATTTGTCCTATAACTACATATTACTAAATACTAATTATATACATACAAAATGAAAATAAAAAAATATTGTATCCAATATATATCTTTTAGTTTTTGGGTTGATAACGAGCTTTTCTTACAAATTTCAAGTCTCTTGTACTTTTAATGATAATGATATACCCTTTACATTATCAGATGCCGGCACAAACGAATAATTACTCCAAACTCCTAGCTTCAATAGTGACAATATGGTTTGCTTTTTTATACGAACAGAATTACGGACATCGGCCAAAATTCATGTCTACTCTTTAACTTCATGAATGAGTATAAGAAATTATTCAACAACTAACTGCTCATAGCAAAGCAAAAATCAATCAGTATGTTCGCAAGTGAGTACAACACAAATAATTTCGCTTAAACCTAAAGACATTGAGTTCATTTAAAACTTTTGGTTGCCTAGAAAAGTGTCATATATTTATATACAATTCTTTAAGTTTTTATCTGTGAATATAACTTTTACTTTAATCTGCCAATATGAATGTAAAATTCATTTGAATCCAGAAACTTATTAATGATTTGACATCAATGTCAACGAATTATCTTTTCATTGCCGGGGAAGGAAATTAATAATACTGTCCAAAGTTCGTGAAGCTTGAAGAGATTGTGATTGTGATTGCGTGTGGGTTAGGTAAGAATATTAAGATTTCTGTATATATGTATATGTTACATCGATTCGGATAAACTAGTGTGGAATTCATGGAATTTCATGACACCGAGTTTTCGTTTTGTAATTACTATGTCTTAGGGCTGGAATAAACATAAAACGCTAATAATTAAAATATATATAGAAATATGCATTACTTTATGTACGTGTGTGATAAGCTTCATGGAAAACGGTGCTAACGTGTAAATCAATAAGACATTGGCAACTACTGCAGGCGGCAGTTAGGAAAAGATTCTTAGAGAGACTACTATAAATGCATCTATATGTAAAAACTTATACTTTTTTGGTATTTTTCAATCAAATGTACAATAAACTGATAAGGTCATTTGAATGTTATCTGTTTGTCCGTCTGTATGACACGATAATTAATAATTGCTAATTTCTTTTAAAATATTTACAAATAGTACTGAAAATTAGTTACTAATGTAGGTAGTAATATAACATTACAATTTAAGCACTTTTTATAATTTTTTCTTACCATTATTATTAACTTCGGTCTTTTACTTCTGCGGAATAAAACTGGAGAATTATTAAGCTTATGAATTATAGGGATGTACAACGATTTGAACCTAAAAAACCTATGGTGTTTAAGAAATCGGATAACATATCGATATTTTCTTTAAATTGCTCAAAGCAGCTCTCGATTATTCAATATATTAATATTTGCACACAAATTGTGCGTTTCCACTATAGTTACAATGACCCATTTTAACATAATAACAAATTTCACTCATTATTAACAATCAATAAATTGGATTAACCATTAAAGCTACGTTCATATTCACAAGAAACTTAATATTGAAACCGTAACATCGAAATCGATAAAAAATGGTATTCTTGCTAAAAATAAGTAGTAACTATCTATTTGTAGCTCAAAATAGTTTATTAATAGCTGAAATGGATAATTGTCCATGCGAAAATGTGAAAGTAGATAAGTAAGTTTAATGGTCAATCTTTTATGAGGTACCAGTATAGAGTATTTTTTGGCTCGGTTAAATTCAGGTTGTTATACCCCGAATTCATTAAAAATAAGAATATAATGGATTTGAGAAAGCGTATGTAACACACAGAAGGACGCGCGGCAGACTTGATTAATATATATATTCTTGAATAATACTGCTTATTAGATTTAGCCATTCGTATGTCTGTTTGTCCGTCTGTTAGTCACTCCATCTCAGAAAATATAAAAGCTAAAGACATCAATTTATTTCTGTATTTTCAAATTACTTATAATTATTCGCATTGTAATGTAGATTAAATAGAATATTGAAACTCCGTTTTTAAACTATATCGTAAAAAGTAGCATTTCATACATATATTATAAAATTTTAATTTGTTATGATGTAGCCAATATGTGAACCAGCTTTAATTAATTTATATATTACAATTATTGAACAGAACGTTTGGGCAATAGGCAAAAGCACGTAGCAAGAAATGGAACACGCCAATAATAAAATGCTTATGTATATAATATATATGAATGTGATATTAGCGAGAGCAACGAAATTGGCCTACAGAGAATAAATAATGCATATGGCTCTGCGTTTGTTAATGCAGTTTGTTGAGATAAAATTGTAAATTCGAAGTGATGCTCTCATATTATTTTACATGTGTGTATGAAGTTTGTGTGTACATATAAGTCCATAACTGCCTGTGTATCAACTTATGTGAGTGTGCTTTGTAGCCTGTACTGTTTTTTCCTGCCATCAGGACTATTGATATCTATTTCCTCAACGCAGTTCGTAATGACAGGGCATCGTTTTGGGGGCGAGGTAGCTGTAGATTGTCACGCTCAATTTTAGTAAACTTATCTGAAATATCATAAAATTAATTTAAATTAGTGTGATCAGTGCTTAATACAATTAGCTGAGATATATACCTATTAACAGAAGGCAATAAAACTGTAACATGGCGTTTTTTTAATATCGCGTGTTACCTTTAAAGAATTAATCGATAGAATCAAATTTTAATCGAATTGCTCCCAGCTCTATGTGAATGTATGTAACGTATGTGTGTGTTTTCAATAGACATTTAATTTTAGGCAATATTAAAGAAAAAATTAAATACTAAAATAACTTGTGAAAAATTTGCAAATGTGTATTTAAGTAAAGCGAAATAACTTTTCTAAGCCGGAGATATGCAGTGCCAAGTTATGGTGCTTAAGGTAATTATTGAATGCACGTGTATATATGTGTGCTTTGTTCAATTTTCCGAATGACGAAAAAGCTAGAATATTACAAATATATAAACGGATTTTCAAAGAAAATTCTTGTTATAGTTTATAGTTTATATAACTAATCTTCGTATATATTTAAGCATTTAAAAGTATATACAATAAAACGTAATAATTGTGTACTTAAAATATTTGTATACATACATACATTCACACACACACACACACACACACACACACATATATATATATATATATATATATATATATATATATATATATATATATATATTTATGCCCGATTATGTGCATGCTCATTTTTGTAGTCTTCGTTCTATTCTGTGCTTTACCGTTACACATTCTCATCATTTAACTAAATTTAAGAGATTAGAAGTGGTACCATAAATTCAACTAATTCCCAAAAATTCCTATTTTTGATTCGGTTCATTACTTTGTTGACATATATGATAAAATAATGACAATTTTACCGAAAATTAGGAAACACAGGATCTTGTGAAGTAAAAGTAAGTAAGCAAAAGGGACCGCCAGTGCCGTTATCTATTTGATTGACATGATATTATATAGTTATTAAAAATTACAAAGGTATCATTTGAAGCATCATTTAATGAAGTCTGTTTCTAATTTTTCTTTAAATTATGTTTTTAAATTTATCTTGAGATAAATTTGTATGTTTTGAAAGTTGTGCACTCGCCACTGTGTAATTTATTTTAGAATTTAATGTTTTTTTATATTACTTTCAGATATAACTATCCCCCTATTGTATATTTTGTTGGAAATTAAAGAGACAATGTAAGTAACGCATAGAATAAAAAAAGCTTCGCCTTGCATAAAAGTTATCGGATGTTAATTCGTGAAGTTGGCAAAGAGCTCATTAATTAAAGCTCAGTGCATTTTTTTGAGTGTTTCAAAATGAATATAAGCAAGAGTGCTCTAGTTGGGAATGCTAACTACTGGATACCCTGAAGCCCGCGAAGAATTACTCTTCCAATAAATCTACATTTCTTTTATAAATGCATATCAATGAATGCCCACGCACATATATGCACGCGCTCTGATTACGACGGAGCTCAGGCAGTGGGCCTAATCAAATTTGGAGAGCGTGATTATGATGTACTTGCCGTAGCAAAATTATATCTCAAATACGTTTTTGCGAGTTTGAAAAGAGGCGGTATCCATAATCCGAAATTACAAAATATCTTTATTTATTGCAGGAAATCCCCACTGTAAATTTTGTCTCCATTTTTTGCGGTATTTAAGCAGCGCTTTGCAAATATATAAAGACAACAAAGACAATAATCGCGTGAGAATTGAAATGAGATGGTAGGAACGTTGACGTAGCCAAAGCTGGTCAGAAAGTTTTTAACCAAGAATACCTCGCTCTCATCAGCAGAACTGTAGGTAATACACATAGGCGATGATTGAGCAAATCAACCGGTAGTTTGGTTTAAGGGACTTGTTTTGTTTGTGTGTGTCTATTTGGCCAATGAATCATTTATCGCAAGGTATATTCATTAAATCAACTACAACTTATTCAACACTATCAAGTGTTTAATAGTTTTTATGTTTAAGTTTACTTCTGTCTGCGGTTATGGTAAATCACGCAAACTGTTACTATATACTTTCTTGTGTAAGGTTGATGGTTGATGTTTTGCGTCAAGTGTTAATTCGGTTAGTGAACTTTAGATGTTAGCAAACTATATAAACTATAGAAACTAAATTACTTTTATATCTCAAACAATTTTCTTATATGGAATTCCGGTTTTCAATAAATCTTCCCATTTCCTAATCGATATAAATCTTTAATCTAACTTTTTTTTTAAGCGTAGCTTGAATACCACAATAGACCGAAACATCCAATTTACTTTAGTTTCCTTAGGTTGTTAAGCGCGGTCGCTAATATCACCGCATCGCAGAGTCCTGGGTATCTGATAATAGAGTAGTCTCTACAAGAGCATTCTCACTTGTAAAAATTCAATTTGTTTAAACGTAATGTACAACTGAGCTACGAGTTCAGCGTTAATATTTCAAATTATGAGATATCCAATATGCTATCAGAGCAGAAGATATCGATTTTTTAAAAATATTCATCAATCTATTTAATTTTTTTAGATGGGCGATGTTGATCCCGAAACTTTACTGGAGTGGTTGTCGATGGGCCAAGGAGATGAAAGGGATATGCAATTAATTGCTTTAGAGCAGCTATGTATGCTTCTTTTGATGTCAGATAATGTTGATCGATGTTTTGAAAGGTAAATTTATTATTTTGAAATCGAATAAGTTAAACACATACACATACATTAATTCCAAACTACATAATTCCTAATTCCACATATTGAAAAGTACGAACGTTAGTGCATAATTATAAACAATGTACCATTTGTATTTACTTTGGCTTTTTAAAAATGGGAAATCCAGGGTATAATGGTTTTGTGCAAATGTATATAACAGGCAGAAGGAGGCGTGGCAGATCCCATAAAGTATATATATTCTTGATCAGGACGACAAGCCGTGTCGATTGAGCCCTGTCCGCCCGTCTGTCCGGTTGTGTGAACGCGTGTTTCAAATATTCGATAATTATTCGCATTTAATTGTTATCGAATAAAAACATGATTGAAATGCAGTTAATAAATTATATCTCGTACGTCTTAAGAATTTTGTATTTAGTTTAATGTATATTTTATGCAAATTTTGATGTTTGTTGGATTTTGGATACCAATTTCCCCAAATTCTTAAAGTTTAAGCTTAGTTGGACTATGGCAATTATGTGAAGGCATTTGCATCTCAACCAAGCCAATAGGATATGTAGATCATATGCTGAAATTTCATTAAAATCCATTAAGTAAAGTTGTAAAGTGTACACGCACACATTCAAATGCGTGTATTCTTTTCTATTCGAAGAATCGAAATTGCGATTGAAATTGGCTGCGTTGGTAGAGGCGGCGCTCGATAGCGTTAAATCAATCGGGTTCAATCATCGCGGCGACGAGACATTTTTTATTGTTTAATTTTTTGTTTTTTAATTATAAAGTGGCGGTGTTGGTAGAGTTGGTGCACGTTACGTAAACAATCGTTTTTTATTTGTTTTCTTTTTTTTTTTTAATGCTCGATACAAACTACGGAAAATATTAATAAACGCAAATAGGACTGGGATCTTACTTGTTTCAATAATAGTCTGATGGATGCCCTGCGATCCAAGAATAATATGTTTTAACGTTTAGTGTATACATCTGTGTCAAATAAATTAATCTTTACTTGTTACAAATTTGTTTATTAACGTGTTTGTTGTGTTTATTGGTTCCTTTCAGTTGTCCTCCTCGAACATTTTTGCCAGCTTTATGCAAGATATTTTTAGATGAGCTTGCACCTGAAAATGTTCTTGAAGTTACTGCACGCGCCATAACATACTATCTGGATGTGTCTGCAGAGTGTACACGAAGAATTGTTTCCATAGATGGTGCTATTAAAGCAATTTGCAACCGATTAGTTGTTGCAGACCTATCTTCACGCACATCGCGAGATCTTGCAGAGCAATGCATTAAAGTTCTTGAACTCATATGCAGTAGAGAAGCAGGAGCCGTTTTCGAAGGAAGTGGCTTAAACTGTGTGTTGTCATTTATTCGGGACTGTGGATCCCAAGTTCATAAAGACACATTACATTCTGCCATGTCTGTCGTTTCGCGACTTTGCACTAAAGTGGAACCGAATTCACCATGCATAGATAACTGCGTGGAAAGTTTAAGCACTTTATTACAACATGAGGATACACTGGTATCAGATGGTGCTTTAAAATGCTTTGCTTCTGTGGCGGATCGCTTTACCAGGAAATGGGTTGACCCTGCTCCCCTAGCTGAATATGGTTTGGTTACCGAATTGCTTAAACGTCTGGAAAATGCTGGTGGTAGCGGTAATAACCACTCCCTATCTACATCTAAATTAAGTGGACCTGCACCCCTTAACCTTAACTCAGACAGACTTAATGAAAATGTTTCAGGATCATCAGCGAGTGCGGCTGGCAAAATTCAAGCAAATGAATTGCGGTCACCGCAATCAATATCAACAACGATTTCGCTGTTGTCTACATTATGTCGTGGATCACCCTCAATAACGCGTGATATCTTAAGGTCTCAGTTACCCACTGCAATTGAAAGAGCCCTAAAGGGCGATGAGCGATGCGTTCTTGACTGCATGCGATTTGCAGATTTATTGCTTCTTCTTTTGTTTGAAGGTCGCCAAGCATTAAACAGGGGCAGTGCTAACACCAATCAAGGCCAATTAGCTCCGCGACCAAAACGAAATGACTCCAGTACTGACCGTACTCATCGCCAATTGATAGACTGCATACGATCTAAAGATACTGAAGCTCTGCAAGAGGCAATCGAAACTTGCGGAGTTGATGTGAATTGTATGGATGACGTAGGGCAAACTTTATTGAACTGGGCTTCTGCTTTTGGTACTTTGGAGATGGTTGAATATTTATGCGAGAAAGGAGCAGATGTTAACAAAGGGCAAAGAAGCTCATCCCTCCATTACGCTGCATGTTTTGGACGCCCCGGAATAGCAAAGATTCTACTAAAATTTGGTGCATATCCAGATTTACGCGATGAAGACGGGAAAACACCTCTTGACAAAGCGCGTGAAAGATCAGATGATGGCCACCGGGAAGTTGCAGCAATTTTACAATCTCCAGGAGAATGGATGTCTTCTGGAAATATATTGACAAACAAGGAAGGACAAATGTACTCATCACTTGAACCGCGCGGTGACCCTGAAATGGCACCAGTATATTTAAAATTACTTTTACCAATCCTGTGCCGTACATTTCAAGGTTCTATGCTTCCTAGTGTCCGGCGAGCCAGTTTGGGTCTTATTAAAAAGATAGTACAGTATGCACATCCTTCAGTTCTTAAAAATATTTGTAAAAAGTGCGATGAGCCAACAACTTCAATAGCCACTCAAAGTGTTGGAAACTTGCTAACTGAAGTTATTGCCAGCGTTTTGGATAGTGAGGTAAAATAAATAAATGATTCATGATTATTCATTAAGAATTCTTAAAATTTAAAAAGTCACGAAAGTCATAAAATGCATTCTTTTACTGTATCTAATATTTGTATGAATGTTTTAAATTTTATAAGGAAATTATTATGAATATGACATTACTTTTCTTTACTAATTGTTTTTGTTTTTAAGGATGATGAAGATGGCCACGTAATTATTTTGAACATTATTGAGGACCTGATGTGTAAGACACAAGAAGAATTTATTGAACATTTCGCACGACTGGGAGTATTTTCTAAAGTGCAAGCTCTAATGGATCAAAACGAGGACAACAGTTCATCACAACTCGCATCGGGCTCGTCAGATTTGTCATCAACACAAAAAGGGTCAGCATATTGTATGCCGAGTAGATCAGTATCAGGTAGCTATACAATTTATTTTCTTTATTAAGTCAAAACCTTACTTCTTAAATATTTTATTGTAGATGATTTAATGGAGGATGCTAAAGAGATTTTGCAAGGCAAGCCTTATCATTGGCGAGATTGGAGCATTTGTCGAGGTCGAGATTGCTTATACGTTTGGTCAGATTCTGCAGCGTTAGAGCTTTCTAATGGTTCCAATGGTTGGTTCCGTTTTATACTTGATGGAAAATTGGCAACAATGTACTCAAGTGGTAGCCCTGAAAATGGAAATGATAGCTCCGGTAAATATAAAAATATTGCACATACTTTCTGCTGACCTACATTTTTAAGAACGCCCACCGGTTAGTAAATTTTATTTTGATTTGACTGTTTTATAAAAATATATCTGCCATGGAGATTTTTTCATAAAAAAAGTCACATTTTTAATTTCTAATAGCAAATTAATTAAATATATTTTATAAGCTTGATACTCTAGAAATATTAGAGTTCTACCTAATATTTAGTAATGGTTGGCCAAAAAGGTCTGAAAATCAATATAATACAAAATCGAAATTTTTAATTTTTTAATTTTTAGTGATCTAAATAATATTATTTATTCGTAATTTATTTTTAATCTTTCTTATTTTTAATCTTTTATTAACATACATACAACATATCAACATATTTTATTGCAGAAAATCGTGGTGAGTTTCTCGAAAAACTAGTTCGAGCTCGATCCAGCGTGAGTCCTGGTACGCCATCACAGCCCATTTTGCCCACTGTGTGTGTGTTAAGACTTGTTGTTGGAAATTGGGTGTTACAATCACACAAACCTAATCAACTGCAAATTCACAACACAGAAGGTCATCAAGTTACAATACTACAAGATGATATGCAAGGTTTTATCTTTGAAAGTAACAGAGGAACTAAGCATTCGTTTACAGCAGAAACTACCTTAGGTGCAGATTTTGCTTCAGGATGGTCCACTGAGAAAAAAAAGCGTACTAAATCAAAGACAGACATCCAAAAAGTTCAAGTATCAAACGTATCTCGTGAAATTTATAACAAATATTTTAAGTCCGCTCAAGTAATACCGCGCGGAGCAGTAGCAAAGCTAACTGCCATTGTAAAGCAAATCAATCTTGCTATTGAAGAACAACGGGTGTCTTCCAATAGCAATTGGTCAAGCACCCTGGATACTGCGCTAACAAATCTTTCGAAATTAATTCATGAAGATGGTGTGGTAAGTGCATATGAAATGCATTCTTCAGGCCTTGTCCAAGCATTGGTTGCAGTGTTATCTAATAACTATTGGGAGTTCAATTTGTCGCGTTGTAAAACAAATAAAATGCTAAAAGATCGCATTGATATATTTAAAAAATGCATTTTTGGAGACTGCGACGAATCAAACATATACAATACGAAAAATACTGCGAGTATTCTTATACAAAAGCTTGTTGCGGTCTTAGAAAGTACTGAAAAGCTTCCGTTGTTCCTGTACGATGCTCCAGGCACTGGCTATGGTTTACAAATACTTCAAAAACGACTGCGTTTTCGATTGGAACGTGCGTCTTCTGAGAGTACTCTTTTTGATAGAACGGGTCGCACTTTAAAAGTAGAACCATTAGCTACAGTTGGAAATCTCTCAAAATATTTACTAAAAATGGTTGCTAAACAATGGTATGACCTTGACAGATCTACATTTTTATATTTGAAAAAGTTACGTGAAAACAATCAAGGTATTTCATTTACATACAATTTTGATTTCGATGAAGAAGGATTAATTTACTACATTGGATCAAATGGAAAAACATGTGAGTGGGTAAATCCAGCGCAATATGGTCTGGTGCAAGTTACAAGCTCTGAGGGTAAAACGTTACCTTATGGAAAACTAGAAGACATACTGTCGCGTGATAGCGTTTCCCTTAACTGTCACACAAAAGATAACAAAAAAGCTTGGTTTTCAATTGATCTTGGAGTATTTATTCTGCCTACTGCATACACCTTGCGTCATGCTCGAGGATACGGGAGATCCGCACTAAGAAATTGGCATTTTCAAGCATCAAAAGATGGTATTAACTGGACTACGCTTATAAATCATGTTGACGATAAGAGTTTAGCAGAACCAGGAAGCACAGCAACTTGGCCCATAATATGTTCTTCTGATGATACAAAAGGATATCGTCACATAAGAATCCAACAAAATGGTCGGAACGCTTCAAATCAAACTCATTACTTGAGTTTAAGTGGATTAGAAATTTACGGACGTGTCGTAGGAGTTTGTGATGATATTGGTAAAACTATAAAAGAAGCCGAAGCGAAAGCACGCCGCGAAAGACGTCAAATACGGGCTCAGCTCAAACATATTACTTGTGGGGCACGAGTGGTTCGTGGAGTTGATTGGCGTTGGGATGATCAAGATGGGTCCTGCGAAGGTACCATAACTGGGGAAATACACAATGGATGGATTGATGTGAAGTGGGACCATGGGGTAAGAAATTCCTATCGTATGGGAGCTGAAGGTAAATACGATTTAAAATTATCCAATTTGGAGAATATCGCTATTTTCGAAGGAGTTAATTCAATGCTACCAGTTGCATCAGGAGTAGGACCTAAAAAAATTGATAAGACTAACGTGTTAACTTCTCGTAAATCTAGTTCAACCCCATCGCTCCCTGAAGCTACTGAGATAAATAAAAACCCTGAAGATGCATCCAATCAAACTGTCTCAGCCGACAACCTTGCTTGGAAACAAACTGTAGAAACCATTACAGAAAATGTATTTATCTCAGCAAAGAGTCACATTGCAACTAACCAGTCGAGCACAGCTATAGCAAAAGAAGCTGTCTATAATGAAGCGATCTCTGACCAACCTTCCTCAGAAACATCAATTATTCCATCACCGTTAATTCGGGAATTACAACACATTGCGGATCTATCCACAATCAATAATTCAATGCCTGCGATAAACTTAAGTAATATGTCAGACTTGGCCACCATTTCAGAAAGTTTGTCAATTGTTGAAGTTTCGAAAGAAAATAGCAGTGCAAAGCCAGCTGAATCTAAAACAACTGAAGCTAACTCTGTCGTATCAAAGGACATGAAACAAAAACCATATATAGAAGAAAACAATAAAATGAATGCAAACAACTCTGTTAATAATTTGGCAAAAGGACTATTGATAAATTTGAGGCAAATGAATTCAGCTAGTTCTCATTGTGCTTCTCAATTTCCAACAGATACTCGCGAAATTATAGATAAAATGCGTGATGGTGTTGACATGCTACGCAACAATACCAATAATATACTGTCTTCAGATGAATTACACATACCTCGCTCGAACGTGTCATTAGGTCCTAAGGAAACTGCAAAGTTCTCGGCGTTAATACAACCAGGCACTTCTCAAAAAGGTGAAATATTAGATGGTATGGGTAACGAATCTTTGAATACCTCCTTACCCCAACAAAATGTTTCTAATTCAGATGAGGCACCACAGGTATCAGCGTTCCCTGGTCAAATCGAGACCATTATAAATTCTCAAATTACAAATGATGTTGTCTCCGTCCCTAATCAAATGAGTATCAGTGTGCCCAATTTAACAACATCATCTGAAGTATCATCTACATCAGAGGTGGCTGTTCATACTGGCCTATTAGAAACATTCACAGCAATTGCGCGTCGTCGAACATCACAAGACACAAGCAATGATGAAAACCAGTCGCACAACAACACAAATATTAATAAAAATGAACATAGTAATCAAAACGTTGGAGCAGGCTCATTTTTTTCCAGAGGTCCTAACTCTGTTACAAGTTTAGTAAAATTAGCTTTATCTAGTAATTTCCATTCTGGCTTACTAAGTACAGCGCAAAGTTATCCTAGCCTCTCATCTAATAATGGATCAAATAGTTCATCGAATACAACTAACAAAAAAGTTAGTCAGCAACCTACTTCGTCCATTAATCCAACGCTAACTATGAGCTTAACTTCTACATCAAGTGATAGCGAACAAGTTTCGTTAGAAGACTTTTTAGAAAGCTGCAGAGCTCCGACATTGTTGGGCGATATGGAAGATGAAGATGATATGGAGGAAGAAAACGATGAAGAAGAAAATGAGGATGAATATGAGGAAGTAGGAAATACACTTTTACAGGTTATGGTGTCACGCAACCTTTTAACATTTATGGATGATGAATCCCTGGAAAATAGATTGGCAGGTGTAAGCAAGCGCAAATCGTGGGATGATGAATTTGTTTTAAAAAGGCAGTTTTCCGCTTTAATACCTGCTTTTGACCCTAGACCAGGTCGTACAAATGTGAATCAAACTTCCGATTTGGAAATTTGTCCACCAGACACAAATCTGGAATCTTTTCAACAAAGCGGGCAAATCATTCCTGAACAGACAATGCTTGGCTTGAAGTTACGAGGCCCAGGTGTTGGAGGTGTTCCTGACGTTGAAATCGATTTGGATAATAGTGAGTGGACTATATTTAGAGCAGTACAAGAACTATTACAAAACAGCCAAATCAATAAAAATGACAAATTTCGCAAGTTATGGGAGCCAACGTATACAATTGTTTATCGTGAAACATATCCAACAGTTCAGGAATGCTCATATATTGAATCTGAAGAAGGACAAAAAACTCCAGGAGTTTCATCGAGAAGCGGAGCGTCTACATTATCGCCGAATTCCCCAGTCTATGGTGGATTAAATATTACGGATAATAACCTATGCTCTGTTGAGGATGTGCTTGAATTGCTTACTCAAATTAACGCACTTAATCAATGTGAAATTGAACCCGACGATAATAACGCATCATCACAAAAAACTTCTTATTTACCTGCTGAGCTCTTTATGAGTAAAAAAATTACAAATAAATTACAGCAGCAAATTCATGATCCTCTTGTTCTGTCAAGTAATGCTCTTCCGAATTGGTGTGAGGATCTCAATCAATCTTGTCCATTTTTATTTCCATTCGAAACCCGACAATTATATTTTAATTGCACTGCATTTGGAGCATCCAGAAGTATTGTCTGCTTACAATCTCAACGTGACATTACAACTGAACGGCAAAGAATTCCTATTATGAGTCCTCGTCGAGACGATCAGCATGACTTCCGTGTTGGCAGATTGAAGCACGAGCGCGTAAAAGTTCCACGAAATAAGGATTTACTTAAGTGGGCCATTCAAGTCATGAAGGCACATTGCAATCGAAAGTCTGTGCTAGAAGTAGAGTTTTTGGATGAAGAAGGAACTGGGCTGGGACCAACACTTGAATTCTATGCTTTAGTAGCTGCAGAAATTCAACGAACGGATTTATGTATGTGGTTATGTGACGATGAATATAGTGAAAATCATAGCGAACCTCAGTTTCACAACATAGAAGACGGCTCGCAACCCATTGGATACTATGTAAATAGGCGTGAGAGTGGATTATTCCCAGCACCTCTGCCACAAAACTCAGAGTTATGTGAGCAGGTTTCAAAATATTTTTGGTTTTTTGGAGTTTTTATTGCCAAAGTCTTGCAGGATATGCGACTTGTTGATATGCCCTTGTCCAAATCATTTTTACAATTACTTTGCCATAACAAAGTATTATCCCGAAATGATTTAAAGCTTAGATCAAAACCACGTTTCCAAGATCTGATGGCGAGCTCAGTAGTTTCAAAAGATGCCGAGCTTGCAAATACATATTCAACATTTTTAAACGAGGATCTAACACAGTGCAACTGGTTCAGTGGAATCCTTAATATTGAAAACCTGAAAGAAATTGATCCAACACGTTATCAATTTTTAATTGAGCTACAGGACTTGTTAATGCGTAAACAAGCCATTGACTTAGATGGGACTCTAAATAGTCAGGAAAAACAAAAATTGATTAATAATCTTAAATTGCGCACCAAAAATGATATTGAAGTATCACTCGATGACTTGGCCCTTACATTTACATATTTGCCTAGCTCGTCTGTGTATGGATATACATACGCAGAGCTTATTCCAAATGGCTATTCAACTGAAGTCAATATAAATAACCTAGAAGCATATTGGGAATTGCTTGTCAACTTTATGTTGCAAGATGGTATTGCCAAACAAATGCAGGCATTCTATGACGGGTTCTGTGAAGTATTTCCATTAAATAAATTGGCCGCATTTAACCCGTCCGAAGCTAGAATGATGATATGTGGAGAGCAATATCCGCAATGGAGCCGTGAAGATCTAATGGCGTACACTGAGCCGAAACTGGGCTACTCCAAGGATAGGTAATGCACTTACTTTAATTTGTTTTGCCTTTTCTAATTCGTTTTTTTTTTTCTAGTCCTGGATTTTTGCGTTTTGTTAATGTTCTTTTGAGCTTCACGGGTTCTGAACGTAAAGCATTTTTGCAATTTACTACTGGATGCAGTAGTTTACCGCCAGGAGGATTAGCTAATTTACATCCTCGACTTACAGTAGTAAGAAAAGTTGATGCTGGACAAGGAAGTTATCCATCTGTGAATACTTGCGTTCATTACTTAAAGCTTCCCGATTACCCATCTGAAGAAATAATGAAAGATCGCTTATTAACAGCAACAAAGGAAAAAGGGTTTCATTTAAATTAAAAAAAAAGTATTTTTATTATTTACATTGTTAATTAAAAATGGCTTAGATCTTTTTAAAATCTTACTATATATGTAAATACTAAACGTTCTGGTAAAACACAATTGCAATTAATGTCAAAAACATTGTAAATTAATTATTACTTAGTTATCTAATCCAACTTATTAAAAAAAGCATTAGGCGAATAATTTCTTGATTTAATAAATTGCCTTTAATGTTGAATATTGACTTTTATTAAAACAAGCAATCGTTTAAGTGTCTCCAATTATATTTACCGAGGATTTCTGGATGATTCAAAGGCAAAATAAATGAAAAAATATTGTGTGAGGAAGGGAAACAACAATAATTCATACGTTTGGCTAAAACTATGATTATCGATAATGAAAATTAGAATTACACAAAGAAACAAAATTGTTACTGAACAGTCTAAATGTAATACGCATTTTTTTTGTAACAGACAGACCCCATAAAGTATATTTATTCTTCATCAGAACGACAAGCTGAGTCGATTGAGCCCTGCTCGTTCGTTTCTCCATAGTGACTTGAAATTTCTGTTATAGATCCGAAATCCAGTTATTAAATTATATCCCGTACGACTTAAGACCTAAAGCCTACAAATTTTATATTTTGTTTAATGTATATTTTGTACAGTTTTGATTTTTTTACATTTTGGATACATGCTCCAAATTTCCTTAAATTCTTTAAATTTAAGTTCAGTTGAAAATAAGTCGAATATATGAAGAAGTTTGCATATTTAATAAGTTGACAATTATTCCAATAGAATATGTAGATATGTTAAAAATTTCATTAGAATCCATTAAGTAAATTAGAAGCTATTAAACAAAATGTTTGGGCAATACAAAACGTAGTAAGCAGCGCCAAGCTTACGCATTTTTCCTATACATGTTCATACACAATTCAAATGCGTGTATTATTTTGTATTCAAGGAATCATAATTGGGACTGCATTGCTATTTAAGTGGAGATTTGCCACTTTTTACACAAGCAGTGAAGTTGCGGTGTTGGTAGAGGGTTTGATGCCAGACAGCGAATGGGCGATTTATTGTTTTTATACCCTGATCCCATTGAAAATGGGAAATCAGGGTATAATGGTTTTGTGCAAATGTGTGTATATATTCTTGATCAGGACGACAAGCCGATTTAGCCCTGTCTGTCCGTATGTGTGAACGCGTGGATCTCAGCATCTATAAAAGCTAGAGACTTGAAATGTAGGTCCGTGTATAGCACGCGCAGGTCAAGTTTGTTTCAAATATTCGATAACTATTCGCTATTTATTGTTATCGAATAAAAACATTATTGAAATGCAGTAAATAAATTATACCTCGAACGTCTTAAGAATTTTGTATTTAGTTTTATGAATATTTTATGTATTTTTGGTTTTTGTTGGATTTTGGATACCGGCTCCAAATTTCCCCAATTCTTAAAATTTAATTTCAGTTGGAAATAGGGCCATTATGTGAAGGCGTTTGCACCTCAACCAAGTCAATAGAATATGTAGATCATATGCTGAAATTTCATGAAAATCCATGAAGTAAAACAGAAGTTATTAAACAAAACGTTTGGCCAATTTGCAAAATCACTTGTCAAGCAGCGCCAAGCGCACGAATTGTTGTTATACATGTGCACACAAACGTTCAAATGCATGTGTTCTATATTCGAATTATCGAAATCGTGATTGAATTGTGCTTGAATTATCAGTTGCTACTTAAGCTCAAATTCGCAATTCCTTTTACAAGCGGTGCAGTGGTGGTGTTGGTAGACGCGACGCTCGTAAGCGGTTAATCCCTGGGTTCAGGCGTGGTGGCAATGGAACATTTTTTATTATTTTATTTTTTATGTATGAAGTGGCGGTGTTAATGAGCTGATACACATTGCGTAGAAATTGTGGGTTCGAATCCTGGTGTCGTACTCACGATTTTTATTTGTTTTTTTTTTTTTAATACTCAGTACAACCTACGGAAAATATTAAAAAACGCAAATAGTACTGGGATCAAGGGCACCCCGACTAGAGTTCTTACTTGTTTTTTTTTTTTTTAATTATAAAGGGGCGGTGTTCGTAGAGTTGATGCGCCTTTTGTAGGCAACGTTGGTTCGAATCTTGGTTTCGAAATGTCGGTTTTTATGTTTTTTTTTAATACTCGATACAAACTATTGAAACATATAAACCGCATATAGGACTGGGATCAGGGTATCTCCTAGCACCCCGACTGGAGCTGTCTTACTTGTTATACAATTAAGTTTTTATTTTAAATTTCGGAACGGGATTAGGGTTAGGGATTAGCAGATATTATCGAAGTAAGTTTAGAGACATTTTAAACATGTTAATATGCGTGGGCCTATCCTTAGCGGAGCATTGAATGCATAATTTAAATGCGGGAAACTTAATAACTAACTATAAATTTAGCACGGTTGGCAAGCTGATTTTCCAAACTCCCTCTGATCGTAGTTATAAAACTATTATTTCAGATCTGATTCCTCGTCGATTTTAAAAGACTGTTTCCCAATTTCAAGTCTCCTTGATGGCAACAAACTGGCATTTACAAAGCTTTAAAAAAACCTATTTTTCAATCAAATAACCTCAAATGCATGTAGATTTTATCTAGTACGCGATGCTATATTATACTATGATATATTCTACTAAATTTACTGAGAACTTTTCGGCGCATTTTGCTATATCTTAATCATGCTTCTATGTTGGGTCACTCTTACATCCATTTACACCTATGGATGAAAGCAATGTTTTATAAGGGCACCTAGAGTGATAGTTAGCTAACGCTTAATTCAATAATACTTTACGCTTTATAATATATAAAATATTTATATAATAATCACAAAACTTACAGAAATAAATGTAAATTTTATTAGGGGTTTATTAATTTAAATTATATTAAAGTTTACTAACAAATACATCATTAATGGTACATCATAACATCTGTGCTTTGGTACATACACATATATGCGTCACAAAATAGACGCTTAGCGTGTTCAGGTAAGGCTTTGTCGTTTGCGGACCTTTCATTAATATGCCGAGCGCCCTCATCAGATAACCACTCAGGTAATTCAGGAACAGATATCATTTCCGGTATATTATATCCGTTTTTTTCACCTATTAAAAAACAATACGTACAGGAAAGAAAAAAATTTTTTTAGTTCATATTCTTTGATTTTGAAATTGACATTTTTTACAAGTTTTTATATATAGGATTTCTATTAAAAAACCATGCAAATATGATACTGCCTACTTAAGCTATATCTTATACTACTTTAAGCTATACAAAATTCAGATTTTCTTGCAGAGTTGTAATGCACCCTCGAATTAGTTTCTTTGAATTGCACCGGACATGCAATGTGCGCTTTAATAAGACTATTTACAAATTTCAAAAGTGCTATCTTTTAAATCTCTCAGTGATCTAACATTTGGAGCCACAATCATATTTAAAGGCTTAAAAGTTTTAAAAATTAAGAATTGCTTTTATAATACATTTTTCAACCTCTCTATTCTGTTTAAAGGTTCCCTAGCTGTTGATGGCTTAGGAAACGATGACGAAATAGTAATTTCTGAGAAAGGTTTCATAAATTTTACAAAGTTTTTCATGGCATATCGCAGTAAAATATAATCAATGAGCAAAAAAGCTGTCAGGGAAAAATCAATGACGATTAGGATCAGGATTTAGATGAAGATGTTATTTTATTCGACCCAATTTTTTCGAAATATCGCTAAGTTATGGAAAATGTTGCATTTGCTTAAGAAAACGATAGATAATAGGGTTTAGAACAAAGTAAAAGCAAAAGCATCAGCACATATTTTATATAAATTTAAAAAGTTAAGCTGATTAGGGTGCCTCACTATACGTCTTAGAGAAACTAACTAAATAACTAATCCTCAGCTTCGCAATTTAAATTAGTTTTGCAAACACTTCACTTCTATATCTGAATTTGCTAGCAGCGACTCATATTTCATTATATTGCGGACCAAACTGAGCAATTTATACTCTAGCAAAATGCATGTGGCAGTTTCATTTTTGAATTTCTATACAAGTGTGAATAAGGATACGACGACATATGTGCCAACGTAAAAATAGTCCACCATTCATAAAGATTGGCAATAATAAAGTCGCCTTATCACAAACATTGATTTTTGCAGAATAAATTAAAGATGTTTGTGTCAAAAAAAAACTGTATGTACTATAGTAAACGACCTTGGTCTTTCAATAAGTTTCTTCTATATTATTAATCAAATTTAGATAGAACAGAAGTTTGCCAAAATCAAAACCATGTGAATTGGATGTTTCAATCTTTTGTATTATTCAAGACACGTTAAGAGGCGAAGGAGTATCTATTTAATGTATCAAATTTTTCTCTTGTGTGTTAACCCAACTGTTAGCATTTACTATAGCACATTATTTTACTTTTGTTGCAATGTTAAGTCAACCTTGCATAGGTAACACATACATAAAAAATTACCTTTTCTATCTGCCATTGAATCAAAAAAGCACCAAGGAGCATCTGGTCCAGAGCCTGTTTTCACAAATGCTACGTAATGCGATGTTTCTATGCATACAACAGCGAATAGCTCCATATAAAGACGGGGTAAGGTCATGTTATCGGCCATTACTTTGAAGTCTCCTGGCACAGACAGTTTCTTTGATTCATGAGATCTGACAATATATATTATTTTCTCATTTATTTAAAAAAAATAATTTTCATTTGGGAACCTACCTTTTTTCATGCATATGAACTGCTTTAAGACATTTTTGACAAAAAGCTGTACACTCGAGACCAGAGCCTAGCTGCAAGCTACCAAAACATTCTCGGCATTCGAATTCAGCAAGTTTTCCACAAACGGAGCACTGACGTGGAGCTGATAAATATAAAATATATTATATACATTCCAATAAAATATATAATTTGAAAGTTTTAAATAGATCACCACCAATTCAAAATTTTCATAATATAGGAGAATTTTCAATTCTACGGCGGAATGTTTACTATATGTCTGATTTACCTGATGGTATATAGCTATTAAGCACGGAGTTGCCCCTAACTTAACAACTATTTCAGCGATACTGATAACTTTGATAACTTACAGTCTTCAATAATATCTGTTATATCCAGAACTTGCGAAGGTAAAATGCGAGGATACATTTTGTAGCTTTTTCCAAATCGAGGCATTTGAATAATAAGGCATGACGGAACTTCTTTTAATTTTATGTCGGATGAATGAAAGCTTTGTTCAAACAGTTGCTGGACAGTTGGAAACGTAAGGTGTTCATCCTTCTCTACAAATAGTTGATAAAAATAAGAATCTTGTCCAGAGCTTAGCTAAAATAAAATAATTGTTATTTGAAAAACTGTTAATATTTTCATTACTGAAAAATATACCTTTAAAAATGGTTCCACTCTCATAATTTGTGATAGTAAACTGTTTAAAAACTCTTCTGGATCCTTTTCCTCACTGGTTAAACCACTTACAGAGCTAAGTTGATCCAAAAATGTACGCAATTTCATGACACGGTCTGCTCGCACAAAAACATTTTTTCGTAATGGATTAACTATTTCATCACGCAACACATTTTGTACAGCACTATAATGTGAAATGTCCTGAATTGCATATATATATAATACTGATTAAAAAATATTTTGTTGAATTGTTTATTAAATTTACCTCAGAGTTTGGTTTTCTATATAAAATGGAATCAAATACGCTCGTAAAAGTAAACATGGAAAACAATGTTGCATCTAAATAACACGAATTGTGATGCCCTTGAATGCCTTTAAATTTTCCGCATATGTCTTCCAATCCATCTATATCTTTTATAACTAATATTAAAAAAAATGGACAAATCAGAACTCGTAGGTAAATACGGTTGTATATTATATATAATTATTTATGGACTGTTATAAACGAATGAGCACAGTTAACGATTAAAATAAATTTTTTTGAAATGATTGCATATCTAATTATATTCGCACCAAAATATTATTCAATTTTTTAAAATAATTCCTCATAAAGCACGAAAGCTCAAATTTTGGGGTGAATATTCTGATAACTTTCATAACTTTTACTTAATGAATACTTGCCTAACGGTGGGACAGCTCCTAGCACTGAAGGACAATCAACATGACCAAATTTGATAGAGTTTCTGTCCGTTGAGACCGCGCCAAATGAATAACTGCCCTCTATATCCACAAACCTTCGATCGCTTGCACATTTGTTGGACGGAACAAAAATGGCTCCCCCTTCACGACACTGAAATAATCTAAAAGATATAAATGTTGAATTGGATTAAAAAAACTTGGCTTTCGGAATTAAAAACCCAAACGCGGAAAAATCTGCCAATTATTCTATTTTACAAATTACCGAACGCCGTTATAAGTTCCATCGGATGTGTTAAGATTCCTTAAGCTTGGATCATCCTCGACTTCAATTCCAACCAATATGTTTTTCGAGTTAGAAGGTATTCCGATCCACCGAATTACGCCATACAAATCAGTAACCCCAGAATTAAACACTTCTACCAAAGATCCAATTGTGAGCTTCGTTCCAGGTATTTCATGTAATTTCTGGAACTTTATATTGCTTAATTCTGAAACTATATATGAAATAAGTTATTATATTATTGATTAATGTTATTATGTTATTGAATAGATTAAACAATGTTACTGCACAGTACTCATTCGAAAATTTTCAAGATATGGCCACGTCCTTAAAACGCATATATATACTTAAATGAGTAAGTCAAAAGTAACTAAAAATTGAATTTTATCTTGAATTTTACGTATCTAGCACCAATAGTCTTCAAAATATAACATATAATATAATATATAATATATAATATAAGATCTAAATAGTAACTTACGATCCACATTACAGGATTCTAAAACTGGGGAATATACAATTTTACATGATTTGTAATGGACGCAAATATATTGACTATATATTTGAGATCTTTGGTTCTCACCACGGCCCTAAACTTTAAGTCTGTATGTTCAATAGTGGCGAAATGGTTGTCGTTCATACGGCCTGCCGGACGGACGTACAGGAAGACGGACATTGTACAAATCCAATATTTCTCTTCGTGAATGCGAGTTTCAAACATTCGAAAACATAAGAATTACAAATAATAAATTGTATATACAAATATCGATGTCAAAATACAAACATTTTAAATATTTTCTGCACTATAAATCTTAATAAAAATGTTAAGTATTTTATTAATTAAATTTATTTATTGAATTTAGAACGTGGTTAACGGCTTAAAAATGATACGGTTCTGTCTATAACATACATTTCTTATTTTTAGCACAGAAATAATTTGAGCGATGAAATTTTGCGATCAGCCCATCTAAAAATGTTGTGGCATATTATTTACCACTATAACACAAATACACAGGATTAGCGGTACAAATCAATGTTCTAATCTTTCATTTTAATTGGATGCAAATTATAGCGAAATAAACAAGTATGATGTATACCTTCCAAGTAGTTATCTCTTTTTGGTACACTAAATTCTAAAACGGTCAATGGAATATTATACATTTTGCATGATAACGTATATGCCGATATGTCAATAGTCATATATTTTTTCGCCGTAAATTATTGCATTGAAAAATTACCGAGAGAATTTCGCGGCGGTCTCTTATTTAATTATACCGATAATGAAAAACAAAAGTTTTCGGTATGTGATGCGACAAATTTATTTTTAGCTTTTCTGTGTATGAAAATATGTGACAAAAGAAAAAAGAATAGCAGCTACCAGATACCCTGAATTAAATATACAAATTATATACATGATATAAATATACAATTATATACATAAATATCAGTAATATTTTGTTTATACTTTTCAATTGCCAGAAATAATTAAATATACACATAACTGTCAAATCTTATTAATTCCGTCTTTTAAGGTATAAACGCAGTCGGACATGCAAACTGTATAATTTTATCTTTCGATCATTCTAATAATAAAAATGTATGAATAAAATGTACAAAATGAAGTTCTAAAAATACACTAAGAGTCTAAAGTAAACGCGCTTTTTCGGGTCTGTTCCCTTTTTGATTTTCTGTGTAAGAAGTTCTGGTTTGAGAAAAAAATGTTCAATAATAAAAAAAAAAAAAACATAATTAAGATAAATATATTTATGTGTACATAGAAAGCGGTATGTCGTGTGATTATTGCAAAGTGGATTGGCAGCGATAGATAGATTAATTCTAAAAGGATTTGAGTTTCTTTAACGATCAAAAAGACAGACATATTAATCCGATATTAAAAACATGAAATATTGATAAGATAGTTTTAAATTGTCGACAGGTAAAAAATGTTATATAAACACAATCCTGTTTTCATATTTCATATTTTTTCATATATTAAAGGCCCATAGATATCATACATTATGGAAAGGGATTATAAAAAATATTTGTGTAACTGAATTGGTAAAGTGGGATGTTATAATATGATCTTACCACGGTTAGATTTGACTTCTATGGGTGCAGTATATTCTTGCGAAAATTTATCTTTATGTTTCGCAAAAGTTTCATATGTACAATTAGATGGAACAGGTGTTTCCAATTTATTGTCATGTGGCTTTGGCACTAATTGCGCTCTGTTTAAAATCATACCAGCTCCTCCGGCATTTGTCGGCCAATTGGTACCAAGCAAATCGGCTAAATCAACATTTTCTTTTTCTAGACGATTATTAACAACGATTATATTATGCTCATTCCTAGTAGACTTTTCAGTTTCATTCTTAGTTATAATATTGTTATCGCTTTCTTTAATATTTGATTCGGTACTCTTGATTGGGCCAAATATATCGTTTTCGTTAGCTGTATTTTTCTGAAAACTCAAAGGACTTGAGCCTTTACGGTCTAAAGGTACTGGAATGTTGCTTGAATATAATTTATGATCCATATATTTATTTTTCCCGTTCATCGGTATAGTATCATCACCTTTCATAGATTCAGTCATTATTTCCGAATCGTATTTATCTGTGTTCCTATCTGCGTTTGTGTCTATCAATGAATCATAAAAATGAGCTGTAGGCTGTCGTTTCTTGTACTTATCACTTCGCTGAGCATGAAGATTCAAAGTTGATGGTACAATAGCTGTGTACACGCGATCTATAGTTTCGTTGATTAATTGTTTTGCGGATAATTTATGCCTTGATTCACTTGAAATGGGTGCTATCCAATTAGCTGTGGCAAATATTGCTAAACTGGGTTCACACTGCATGTACTTTGTAGCGAACGGAATTTCCTTGGCTTGTGGCGAGGGGCCATTATTCAGGTGCTAAAATATATATATATAAATGCATACGCCCATCAGTAGAGAATTTATATATACGAGTAACATCTAAGTAACAAACCAAAATTTCCAATCCAAAAAAATATCCTACGGAATTGAGTTCCTGCACAGGACCAATGTAACGGATAATACAATCAAAGTTTAGGTTTCCGCTTTTAAACAATTCTCCATGTACACACAAAATGTCATTAACCTTTAAGTTAGTTAACCAGATACATAGTCCTTTATTGTTAACTAAACGCAATCGACTCTCCAGATTGTCAATGCTGATGACATACGGCCAAATATCCTCAGCTACTTTAACCAAGTAACTCGTTTTGATTTCGTAAAATTGGTTATTTGTAACGGCATTGAAATCTACAATTTGAACAATACATTTGTGACTTTCTTTACCATCAGAAGTTCCAATAATTTTTATTAGTGATCCAGGAAAGACCATTTGTTTGTCGAGATACGAAGTGGGATTCTCATCGGATGAAGTTATATTTCCAGATTTGCTTAGTTCTACCTGTCGATTAACGAGTGCATATTTCGAATATCTAAGATTATTTTCCATCTAAATCAACTACAATGACATAAAAAATTAACATTGAAAATAAAGATTACTAATAACAAATAAGTTAATCAAAATTTAATAATATATCGATACATGTAAGTCGTATACCAACAGCTATCGATAGTAAAATAAAGTATTCGTGTTTATACGTACAAATGGTCGTAGAGATCCGAAAGCACCATTACATGATTCTTGTCAATTTGTGTAAAATTACTTAGAAATTTTATATTATGAATGCCAGTACTTAACATTTGTGGGCTTACGCTAATCTTCATGAAAAAGCTCAGTTTTTTCCACGTTAAGGCCATCAATCAAATGCCACGAATTTAATTTTCTAAAAATTTCGACAAAAGATTGACAATTTTGCTCTGGCTGGTACTAAATCTAGTAACTTAACTTGAGGTTAATTTTACTTCTCTTTAAAAGTCCTCTCAACCAATGGTTTAAGCTGCTGGTTTAAGTTGCTATACTATACTTTGCCGTTTTAGGTTTTGGTTTTTTTATTACTTACTATCGGTTTGTGGTCGCTTGGGATCTCAAAAGCGGTAAGATCCGAAATATTTTATGGCCTTTAATATTGCGAATAGTAATTTTCAATTGTAATCGATCTCGTGTTAAGGAACTTGCCTATCAGATTGGTTTATTTTGTTGGGAAACCGCTTCTCCTATAGCTACATTGCTCGTGTCTGTTATTGAGATTTGATTATTAAAATTGGGAAAGATCAGAACGGGTTCTGATGTAATGAGTATTTTTTGGTTTCTTGAAATGTATTTTTGATAGGTAATATTAATTTTGGCGCCTTTCTATAGTTTAAGTGTCATTGGTTTGAGTTTCTGTAAAATCCACACAAATCTAAAAGTGATTTTAATTCTTTCTGCGATCAGAAACATGATTTTATCTTGCCACTTAATATTAGTTTTATATATAAATTTTATAAATTTGTTTTAATACCTCTGTTATGATATGCTTTAATATAATTTTCAGGTGACAACAGGGCTTCATTTAAGTGTAGTGGCATACAATATTATGTATTCTAGGTATACCAAGCAATCTTTACAAATAAGATCCTCCAAAAGCTTGTTTTTACATTTCTAGAAAGTTGTTGGTGCATTTTGAAGACCAAATGCTTACGTATATATTCGTAATGACCATGCTTAGTTGAGAAGGCTGTTTTTGGGATGGATTCAGAATCTATTTAAATGTAATATGATAGTTTAGGTAAATTAGTTATTAAATATTGACATTTACATAACTTGTCCAATATTCTATCAATACATGTTATCTATTGGGACTTCGTTAAGGTTGCGATAACTAATGACTAATCTCGGCCATTGTTTGCTGGCATTTGTATGGGCGTTTTTCAATAGTGTAAACGTCGTGATGTTCAAACTTACGACCTTTTAGTTCTCCAGTTTCTTGTTGACTTACATTTATTTATATGATGTACACGATCAATGTTGTACTTGTTATTTTCTCATAGTGTGTTATTAATGGCGATGATTTGTACTTTGCAGGCTCTTAGGAACTTTCTACCTATTAACATGTTATGTTGCATGAAAAGTTAAAAAGCTATGAATGGATGAATGGACAGCGTCTAGAGTTTCTATTATATTGATTGGAGCAAATTGATTAAATATTTCGGATGCATCCATTCTTTTCATTCCTCTGTTCTCTTTGAGCTATTTGTATCAGATGACAACTCTTATATCAATCTAAGCAGCTTTTCACTAAGGTAGCTTTTCAGTTATAATCTATTTATAATTTGTTGTACCGTTCACGTTCAAGACTATCTACTTCGTCTTGCAAACGCCTCAGGCAGGATAATATAACTTGTACAATGACAAGAGAATTGTATTATTCATATAAGAAAAACCTCGAGAATATATACAAACTCTAATACCAACAAACATCACAGCTTTACCATTACCGGTGCCTACAATTAAAAATATTGTTGTCAATGCCGACTGAACTCACCGAATGGTTTATATTGACATATTGAGAAAAATTTACCTTGCGATTAAAGATAAAATTAAGGCTAAAAAGAACGACCATGAATATATAACCTGAAAAATGAAATAGATTGAATTGAAGTTACGGCAGGATTTGCTAAAGAACCTTCAAAAAATTCTCGATTTGAGTCAGAGTAAGGTAATTTATACAGGCATTATCTGCATAAAGCCCAACACGAGTCTGCTGGCGGAGGAGCACAAGCAAGTCCTTAACGAAAACCATGCGATGCGTGTGGATGTGTGCAGCGTTGCGTATACCAATACTTTGCGCTGAATTTGTAAAACGACTACTGAGGCGGACTAATCTAAGGTGGCGGTAATGGAAGTCGGCCATAGGAATCAAAATATGACCAGAGAAATGTCACTTGTGTAATTTGAAATCGTAGCGAAATCGGCTCCCAGGCCTAGGCTCTATCTTCAGAGCTGCAAGATAAACAGGTAAACGCACGAGGACGGCCAATATTGCGTTTATTTCGAGAAAAGGCTGGTAAGCTTGAAAAAAAAAGAAGTAAACACACAAACACTTATGTATTGCTACCTAGAATTTAACGAAACCAAAAACTATTAATTTACAAAAGCTTTTATATATATATGTATATATATATACATATTATAAATAATAATTTTCTTTTTAAACAAGAAAGAAAGCTCTAGTCGGGGTGGCCGATTAAAAGATACGCTGATCCCAGTCCTATTTGCGTTTATTAATATTTTCCGTAGTTTGTATCGAAGTTTCAAAAAAAAAGAAAACAAATAATAAACGACATTACGAGACCAGGATTCGAACCCGGATTGTTTGCGCAACATGCACCAAATCTACCAACACCGCCACTTCAAAATTAAAAAAAAAATAAAACAATAAAAAATGTCTCGTCGCCGGGTGGATTGAGCCCGAGGCTAAACGCTAACGAGCGCCGCCTTTAATTCAGCACAATTCAATCGCAATTTCGATTCTTCGAATAGAAAAGAATACACGCACTTGAGTGTATGTGTGCACACGCATAGGAAAAATGTCTGCGCGTGGCGCTGCTGACATGAGCTTTTGCAAATTGGCCAAACGTTTTGTTTAATAACTTCTGTTTTACTTAATGGATTTTAATGAAATTTCAGCATATGATCTATATATCCTATTGGCTTGGTATTTCCAACTAAACTTAAATTTTAAGAAGTTGGGGAAATTTTTGTACTATCATCAACTAGGATACGACGGGCACAAATGGTTATCGAAAAAAAATGATAAATGCGTATTTTATACATTGGTTTATTGCAACGATTCTAGGATCTCAAAACTTGCAATATATACTCTTGAGTAGTTAGTGATTCTAGATACGCCTATAACCCGAATCGATTATTATTGATAATAAGGACTATTCGATCAAATAATATTGTACTGCATGCGGTATATACATATGTATATATAATTTCTTAGCTTTTGTAGTTTACGAGATTGCTGCGTTAATACGGACGGATGGACGGACGGACAAGATCGATCAATAATATCTGATGGTCACAATAACAATAACAATAACCTAATCTGACAACCAATTACAAAGAAAAAGGGCTTTTAAGAATTTGATGAACTTAACAGCTTAATAATATTATTGAGAATTTAAATTTAATTTCGACTCAATAGAAGAACTCGATTGTTTCATTTAAGAAGAACAAGAGATAAAAATTTATTAAATAGTCTTCGAAAATCATTTACAATTGAAAATAAAAAAAAAACAAATTCACAATTTAATTTTGACAGCCTGTATGCAATACTTCCTGGAGACAACTAATTCTGCAAAGTACATAAACTTAACATAGAACTACCCCGGAAACTCGTTCCTTACCTAAAGAGCATGCATAGCAATTGCTCTCATTTAAGAGAAAATTTCCCAACACTTGACCACTTGTTTTATTTCGGTATTAAAGCATAAAACTTAGAAATATGATAATAATATATGTATAGACGTAAACATTAATATGAATTAAATAATTAATAATATTACTTACTGCATATTTCTTATAAGTTTCTGAGAAATAAATAATTTTTTTAAATCTCAGGAATACTTTTTAAGTCACCCTTACGGTTTATTAGTATACATTCCTACACTGAACAAAAAGTAAAAAATAAGACATATATATATATATACATAAATATACATGTATATGCAGTTCTGTACATTTATGTGCATATAGATATATATGAATATATAGAGGATACATAAGAGGGTAATCAATTTTAAGCAAATTCTTTGATTTCGAAATTGCGAACGTTTTCATTTTTCATATTTTACATTATCAGTATTTTGTTCAGTGTACTTACAGCATTTCCCGAATGCCGTTGCAAAAAAATCCTCTCAGTATTTCGCAAGAGCAGTACATTTGTTACAATTCTAAAACAACATCTGGAAATAGGTTTAGTCCCGGATTGCCTGTCGCTGGGTAATGGTCTTCCACTAAATATTATTGAAAACCAGTGTTTGTGTTTTTGGCTATCAATAAAGTATGTACATACATATATGTTTTTATAGAGATATGTTTATGTGTGTGTCTGTACGTAATTACAATTTGAAGGTTTTGATTGTGTAAAAAAATAAGGACTTAACTTTTAAATGTGTTTTGTAAAATGAATAAGCATTGCTTATGAATATATAAATAAATATATATATATATATACATATATATATATACGTATATGTATATAAATAAATATGAAATTATATTAAATACCGAATAGGTATGAACACATGAAATTTTTGGCGCACGAGTCCCTAAACATGCGTATGTATATATACATATATATGTAATATATACGAAGATATGTACACTCGAGCACGTTTGTGCAAATACGCTAATATATATGTACAAAAATACATAATTACTTCTGAAATAACACTACCGGAAAAGGTTAATTACAATGCGAATTTGAGTAGTTGAATATTAACAGACATACTATAGATTTACAAATAAAAACGTAGCGTAATGAAGGAATATTTATGTAATTACACAGGTATTCAGAATTCTATGTAAGTGTAAATGTAATAAGTGTTATTGCCATTTACTTACATATAATATGATTTAATTTAT